TCATCCTGACTTTTAAGTATTTTACTTTCAGTAAAATATGCTGTTGTGTCAATAATTTTATTCTTACAATGTATTTTTCGGAAAAGACATTCCAACGAAATGGATGTGCATCAGAAGCAGAAGCTAATCTGTTTAAATCTCCCAGTATGGAGTCAAAGTCGCATGACAGTACTCATAAAAAAACTCAAACTATAACAAGTAGTTCATCAGATTCAACAAAAAGTGCAAGTTCTGTGAATTGCATTCCAAACTATCCAAATATTGGAGAACATTCAAAAGAAGGCATGATGAGAGACAATTATTTTCAACTTCCAACTAATTCAGACAAAATTGCAATATGAACATGATGCAGATTATTTCCCTTTTTCTGCTTGGTAAATTTCAACTGTCCTCAGGAACCTTATGTTCAGTGTTTGTCGTTTGTTGGTGTGGTTCATAAGTGTTTCTCGTTTCTCGTTTTTTATATAGTTTAGACCGTTGGTTTTCCTGTTTGAATGGTTTTACACTAGTCATTTTTTTGGGCCCTTTATAGCTTGCTGTTCGGTGTGAGCCAATGCTCCGTGTTGAAAGCCGTACTTTGACCTATAATGGTTTACTTTTACAAATTGTGACTTGGATGGCGAGTTGTCTTATTAGCACTCATACCACATCTTCTTATATCTGTTAAACACGTGAAAAGGCATTCAAAGACCTTACCGTCACCAGGTCACTGTAAATCTGACAGCCAGACAGGTTATTTCACTGGTCAACTGAAATCCAATTTCACTGACGGCTAGAAATGTTTGAATATATACCAATTCTCAAGTGTCCCAAACAAAAACAAGGTGTAAAGTAAAGAATTTTGCAACAAAAACATCACTTCGGCGATACAGGCCTAATTCATATGTATGATTATGTGTTTCGTGTTAACCCTTATAACAAATTAAGTTTTCAAATAAAACACTTCCGCCCGCCATGAACCAGTAAATATACTTTTTGTAAAAAATGTAGTTAATAATAATACAATCTACTATTTTATCATGTTTATATATATTAATACAAACTACTGCATTTTGACAATTTTTTATGTTTTGATACGCAGCCACGTTTACAGAGTATTGAGTTCTCTTTTGTTTTATGAGTTTCAAGATTTTGGATTAAATCAATAGACCAAAATTTACCTGTATTACTGAGCTATTTTACCTTAACAACTAGTATTGTTAAAATTATTGACCCTGACGAAGGCTATATGTTCAGCCGATTTTATAACATCATCTTTGTATATTACCATTTTACACTTGTATTGTTGCGCAAATCTTTAGACCTTTATATATATAAACATGTAGGTCTTTGCATGGCCTATCACGGTAAGAATAGTAATTAATATTATTAAGTAAGATGTAAATGACCCGCGGAAAAGAGGCAGCAAATGATAAAATACACGATCTCCCAATTAATGCATTGTGCCGGAAAAATATAAGGTCATAAGCAAATATCTTCAAATCACATTGTTCCATGGTCCATTTTCCCTAAATGACCCCAGGTCAACTGGGGTAGGTCATTCATAAAATTGAAATTGGAAAGTCGTCTATTGTTTGGTGAGATTTCAGCGCTGTCTCTACCTTTAGAACAAAATTTTTTTCAAGAAAGATTCAAAGCCTTGACGACAAAATTGTTAAATGGATATAAGGTGAAACCAGATTCGAGTTCCGTGTAATAAGGAAACAGATTTGAATTTAAAAAGGGCCACAGATTTGAGTTTTGTTACATTATGGAACACATATTTAAAGAAAAGACACGTATTAGAGGCTTTACATAGATTTGACTGTAACATGTATATTGTATTATATTATAATTGACCTCATGATACATAACGCTAAGGGTCAACTTGATCTAGCTGTAAAGTGTGGGTTCTGTTCCATCGTTAAAGACATTTAAGCGACTATTATGATGAAGAACCGGAAGTAATAGCGGTTTTCTTTTTTCAATGAAATTCATACTATGTGATATTTGTCCCTTATACATCCACCGTGTCTCATTCTTGTTGCTACGTTATAAAACAAGACTAACATAAAAAGATAATATTAATATTTTTTTCAAATGTTTTTTTCTTAATTTTGCATAAATGATAAAGATTGAAGTTTTTTGACATCACGCATTCATGAACTTGTTATAATAAATTAACGCTCTCTCTCCCATGAAAAAGGGCATATTGTTGTTACGATTGACGATAATTGACCATTTATATCGCCAATAGTAATTGAAAAAGAAATTACGTGATTTCAAATGCGAAAATCCAAAACCATTTAATGACGGAATTGATAGTCGGTTTCCTTTGTACTTATCGCATTGAATGTGAGAAAAAGGTCATACATAAAATTGGCAAGCATTAAAATGTTTGGATCAAGGACTTTGATTAAATAACATAGTGTTTATGATAAAAATTTGTAATTTTATTATGTAATTAAGCAACTGAGTTAGTTATGTTAGCTTAGGACTTTTAAAATTTGAGATGATCCTCCACTCATTAGTCATAAATTTTGAGAAACTTTCTAAAAAAAACACTAAAACTTCAAACGTTACAGACCTTAGCGGTTTTATTGCTCCTCATTATACGATAACAGAATGTTTGTCTTTCTATACATCTATGTATGTTTAATTCATGCAGCTTCTAACGTTTATATTCTTGTTGGGTCTCTTTTGGTCCTTAAGCTCCTAACGTGTTTACGTATTTGTTCATCCACGGCTTTCAAATTTTTGGGTTAATCGTTCCTGATTAAGATTAATCCAGAAAAGCGCTTCGGACTCACGAGAGTTATTTTCCTTTACTAGCACTGGATCGATACAACTACTGTTGGACTTTTTAGTCCCCTTGGTATAATCAGCTCAGTGCGCATGGCTTCGGTATTTACATAATTTAAAACATACTTTTAAAAAAAAAATCCCCGTTAATGCATTAAGAAATTATTGAAAACCAAGGTTCTAACTCCCTCAGGCAATCTGACCTTGGGTGAATATTGATATTATTTTTAGGTCTCTTTTGGTCATAAACCTCCTCACCAATCTAAACGTTTTTTTATCAATCCTTGGATTTCAATGTTTTAGATTTGAGCGTGCCCGATGAAGGATTATCCAGAAAAGCGTTTTAGACGCACGAAAATTATAATGCGTTATGTTTTTCTTCTAACATGACTTTAAAAAAAATAATGTGTCGCATAGATTCATTTTGGTTAACGATGTTCTTCGATGCCTTGTTTTGTATATATGTTTTATTAATCGTTATTGTATTATAATTCATGTTTATTATTGTATATTTACTTCATGTTACACATATATGTGTCTGAGCGTTGCTTTATAATAAAATTTTGAAAATCTTGACATCTTGATGCAAAATCTTACAAAACGTTTAAACCTTGCAATATTGTTTCAAAATTGTGTAGCGCTAACTAGCTTTCTGATTTTAAGGATGCATACATCACTGTGTAAAACTGTCGAAAATATAGTATTTGAAACTGTAACATTCAGATTTGATAACTGTCTGCTTTTGGTCGTGTAAGTGAAGCAAAACCCGTCTTTATATTTGTATTTTGTGTTTGGTTCTTGTTGACAATACTGGTTTCCATTCCTTGTTTGCCGGTATAACTATAAAATATTTTTATCACGTGATCTTAATAGCCCTTAAAAGAGAGGCGAAATATACCATAGGGACATTCAAACTCATGAATCGATAATGCCATGGGGAAAAAAGAAAAAGACCAAAAGACAAACAACAATATATAAAACACAACACTAAATTACACTATTATGTCGTCCGTCGTAAATTTTTCGGGAATTTTGTTCAATTGAAATCACTGGTCCATGCTAAATAATAAATAATTTAAAGTATCTGTAGGATAAAAATGTAAGAGACTCTATGGTCCAGTGAATCCATCCTTATCCCATCCTTTAAACAATAATAGATACAGAAAAAGACCCAAACACAAATAAGGGTATTTTCATCAAGAGGAAAGTACAAAATTCAATTCTATTTCTTAAATGTGGAAACTTACATGACTATCAAACCGGATCATTTTAGCCCGCATATAGGTATTGAAATACTTATTGATAGCATTTGGAAAATGAAATAGTCATTCCGAATATTGCATATTATTTAAATTGATGCAACTTGCATGGTTATAATACTGATCACAGTTTTTGTACAATCTTAAGATTTGCTGCTGACGTACGTTTTTTGGTAATTCCCTTATTTGTTCTTTTGAATATATTGCTTCACGTGTATCAATGCATTTACGATATCTCAAACTTTAGGGCTCAGCGTTCCTGATGAGGTAATTCAAATAAAGCACAAAATTCAACACACTTGATATGTTTCTTTTCAAATCGTTTTGAGTCTGCATTTAACAACGCGTCAACACACATAATGACCTTGTCACGGAGTTGACAAAAGACCCTTACACATGTAACATAGATACACTCGTTGATTAAAACAGATAATCAAGCTATTTATATATCTACCTTTAAAAGAAACCATAGGACAAGCAGACTTAAAGAAATCAAGTAATGAGTAGAACAGAACACTGTTACGAAGTATCCAAAACGAAGGCTTCATAAATATATACCAATGGAGATTACCTTTATATAGCAAACAATTCATCTTGACATGTGAACAAACAAATAATATGGTTTAGGAGCGGAGATCCTAAATTATTTGAAAATATTTGAACACTCTCAAATAGTACAGGATGGGAGGGCACATGGGGACTCACCCTATATACAATTCTGTCAAACAAGAAACTATGTGGTTGAGAGGTGGGATTCCCAACCATTTTCAGGATATTTGAATATTTTCAAATGGCAGGGGATGGATATGACCAAAAGAGAAACAACTCATTCGTGTGTTCCAATATATAGTTCCATTAGATCTATATATTTCATTTTTGGTTTGATTGTATTGCTGTCTCAAACACGATCCCCAAAATCTCTTCTTTATAAAAGGTCTTCAGGCAGAATAATATTGTTGATTGTTTAAACCAAGTATAGCATTTGTTTTATTCACATAGCTCAGGTTGAAGATCCTTCCTCCATGGATAGCTAAACTGTGTACCAGGTGATTGAACACTTATGGAGGCAATAATACTGCTTCTTTGAAGGGCCTTTTCAAATGATAAATCTGGTCTGGTTGCAAGATAGAATGCCAGGGACCCTACAAATGAATCTCCGGCTCCCTAAATAGAAAAATAAAACATGACACAATAAAGAAATTTTACTTTGTTTCATTTGATAGTTTACTTTTATATTTAATTTGATTTCTATTGATACATTGTAGACTAATAAAAGTCAAAATTTATCACAGACAAAAATAATAGCCAAATCCAGGCAAAGAATTAGAGATTTTCATGAGGGAGATATATTCCTTAATTCAAAATAATTTCCAAAAGTTTGTTACAGCAAATTTTAAAAACTAAATATCCTTATGTTCATCCCGGTACTGACTACTGGGCTGGTGATGCCCTCGTGGACAAATAGTCCACCGTAAGAGGTATCGACTCAGTGATAGTTATAACATTAACTTCTTTACAAATCATACACTGAATGAGATTCATCAACATACATTGAAGAGTCTTGTGTAGATTAAATGCGCATCTGAATTATAACATTATTAGCTTGGTATCAGTGATGATTTTTGTTTCAACCGCTGAGTCGACGCCACATCTTTTGGACAATTTCTTCCTCGATGGTATCACCAGCCCTGTAGCCTCGGTATTTGCATAAAAAACTGATATTGTTTATTAAAATTTCAATGACGGGCATTTTCTGTAATTGCACTTTTCATTAAATGTTTAAATCATTGAATCACTAAGGTTTTCCTAACCCGGGATTTAATCAGATTTGGCACAACTTTTTGGAATTTGGTTTCCGGTGCTCTTCAACTTTGTAATTATTTTGGTCACCCAACTGTTTTTATTCCAGCGCCGCCGATGAGTCTTGTGTAGATGAAACACGAGACTGATGTGTTATAATTTGATCCTAGTATCTTTGATGAGCGTTTACAACAATTAGTTCGATGCTAATTTCTCGTCCTGAATATGCTTATAATAATTGTCGCTAGACGTTAGGCAAGAAATAAGAAATCAAAATCATTCGAAATGCTTAGGTTTTTTTTACCCCAGGCATAGAAGGCATTAGCCTGGATTTAGCTATTCTTTTTGTCTGTGATAAATTTTAACTTTACAATGTATCAAACTTCGGAACTTTTGATTTTCATAGCTTTTTAACCTCGTTTTTGATTCGGTCTTCTTACTATTTTGATTTAAGCGACACAAGTGAATCTTGAGTAGACGAAGCGCGGGTCTACTTAGTAAATGTCATAAGCCTGGAATCTTATATGAGTGTTTTATTCACAACATAATTTCTTATCTAACCACTCTTGTTAGTTTTTGTGCTTCAAATGTGGTAAATAAGATAAGGAAGTGGCCATCACATACAATATTTTTGTCGTTATGAATATTACAACAAAAGGAAGGAAAGATTTTGCTCAAGTGTCTAGAAAATATTAACACTTTAAAGTATCATTTATTATATATATCAAAAGTTTTCATAGGTTTAAAGTTCATGAATCTGCAGCCAATGTTAACAGTAAGACATGATCCGTTACACAACGATTTTTGTTTATACACTTTTAGTTTTATTGCCTCCAATATTCATCATTTATTTCAAACAGTGAACATCTAGATTTGAATTTACATCAAACCGTACCAGATTAAACTCGGATATATTTAAATGTTGTCTTTTTCAATCCAGATGCATTTTCATACGAAATGCTCGAATCCAGAAGTTTGGATAGTCGAGGATAGGCGATACATATCCAAAATGGAACGTACAAAAATACCATAATCCATCTGTCAACATTTTCGATCAGTGAGAAGCTTTGTTTTTGTTCTTGTTGTGTTAAATTAGAAATATTATATATCAGCTGATATTTTTGTGAAGTCATGGCCAGTGCTGAAGAACCAACTTTTGTGTGACGGTGATACCGGGTATTGACAGTTTACAATGTATCATCATATTGATAGCGAATCAAAGTAAAACATACTAATTTGACGCGTTGGATATCTTTTCATAAAAAGCGTTAATAATTAGTTCTGAATTCCACCAACAATGAGGGTGAACTCGGGTTATCCGGAAGAGTGAGAAGATCCCCCTCTACTAGTGGCATTCATTGTGAGATGAGCCGTACTTAGGAATACGTCATAAATTATGATGATAAAAGAAGCTTGGATGATGGGATTGCTATCCATGGCCATCTGTTAAACAGATATTCAACTAAGTCGTGACTGCATCCTTCAGAAACGATTGACTTGAAAAACAAAACTAGCCAGTTATAAAGACACATACTACATACGTAAAATGACAAATTTATATTCGTGATCTATAAAAAATGCACTGAATATTTATTTGTATTTTTAAACCTTTTTTGTATATAAGCTATTTCATCTTCAAAAATGCTGTATTGAAAGTGTAATGATTAGATTCTCTGATAAAAAAAACCATGCCAATCTATCTGTTTCATATTATCTATTTTAACATCTGAGAAAACTAGCCATTCCTTTCAATTTTCAGCAAGGCTTAGTGTTTTAAAAAAAATAATAAAAACAAGAATACATATACATCAACTGTAACAATTGAAGTGAATGTACAATATGTCGAGCTCGAAATCGTCTACAGTTGAAAAAAGGTGTGCCGGCCTAAATTTAATATTTCAAATTCCTGTTTTTGTATAAATATCAGTCCGTACATTATGTGCAGGCATGTAGGCAGTCGCCTTCTATTGCTAGCCGACTCAAAAAATATTATAATGAGAAAAAAAATAAGAGAAAAAAAATAAGTTCAGGCTAAAAATAGAAAACTAACTATATCTCTACTCAGGATAGGAGAAAATTGACCAGGAGTAGACTGCGTGGTCTGGATATAATATAAACACAAATAAATAACTTAAAGACCGTTGGTTTTCTCTTTCTAATTTTCAATTTTTTTCATGCAAGAAGTTCTTAAGCATCGGATTTATTAGGTCACAGGAAAGTTGCACTAGCTTTTGACACATGCCCGGGTTGTACAGAAAGTTCTTCAAAATAGAGAATGGATCATAATGAACATTAAATTATATGGAAATGTAAAAATGTGGGGATCAGCAAACAATTCCATAATAGCAGGTGCACAACTTCAAGATGTGTTCAATCTTTCTGTGAAGGTTTAAAACCTTTCTCAAATTGCCCGTTTATAAATTTATAAATTAAGGTTTCAACTCCCTCAGGCAAAGTTGACCTAAGATGGATTTGATTATTATTTTTATGCCATTTTTTATCATATAGCTCTACAACTGTTTCGGTTCTAATACATCCTTGTCTTTAAAGTATTCGGCTTTGAGCGTTCCTGATGAAGGTAAATTCAGAAAAGCGCTTGGGACCCATGCATTTTATAAAGTGTTGTTTTCATTTTTTACAGCACTGGGTCGATTCCACTGCTAGTGGACTAACATTCCCTGAGTGTATCATTAGCTCAGTAGTCAGTATTTTAGTACTGACATGATTTATAACAAACCTTTCTTAAAGTGTCCGTTTATAAATTTTGAACTTATTAGGAAACTAAGGGTTCAACTTCCTCAGGCAAAGTTGACATTAGATGGATTTGACTATTATTTTTATGCCTCTTTTTGTCATAAAGCTCTTTATCTGTTTCGGTTCTTATACATCCTTCGCTTTCAAATATTAGGCTTTGAGCGTTCCCGATGAAGGTAAATCCAGAAAAGCGCTTCGGACGCATCAAATTTATAAAAGTTGCGTTTTCATTTTTTACAGAACTAGGTCGATACCGCTGCTGGTGGACTATCAGTTCCGAGGGTATCGTCAGCTCAGTAGTCAGTACTCCCGTACAAATGAAATTAATACAGTGTTGTTTTCGTTTTTTATAGGGATCTGGATTGAAAACTATAGGCATCGAGTGTATCGTTAATTTTGAGGTTAGAAAATGATTCTCTAAAACAAAGTCAAAATGTCTGGGGAAAAGTAAACAAAAACCGGAATAAGCATCACAAACTGCTCAGCTTCAGGGGACCTATGTGGCACCGAGACCCCCGCCTTTTCAAGAGCCTCCTATTACATAGATACTAATTTGTGCCACTGATTTGAAATTTTAGCTTAAATAAAAGACAAAATATATAACATTTTACTGCAATTTACAGCTAAAGCTAAAAAAGTAAGTTATTAATAAGAAATATTGTTAATTTCCTCTTAGTCTACCCTTTATGTAAAAAGCATAACTACATGTTCTTGACTGAAGTTAACTCAGAATTTTATCATATTCATGAGAATTATATATTTAAGCTGATCAAATGATAACTCTAGGCTTGTCTTTTCAAGTTTTAAATATTATCTAATGTCAACAAAGCTTAGGAAAATGAAAATAAAACTTTAGAAATGTAGAGTGTCAGAAGCGCTTTTCTCGATTTAAAATCAGCAGGAACTCTCAAACCCAAAAATTTCAAAGCCAATGGTTACAAAGGTCCTTGCATACGTAGAGAGCAATAAGACCAAAAAAGTCCTTAAAAGAATAGCCTAATCCATCTAAGGTAAGCTTTTCCCGAGGGAGTTGGAACCTTAGTTTCGTAATAATTTCTAAATTTATCAACGGATAACTTAACAAAGGTAGTGTGTTATTGTTATGAAGCATGTCAGTACCGAAGCACTGAATCATAACAATTTATATATAATATATTTTACCGAAGCGCTGAATCATGACTTTAACGAAGCGCTAAATCATTTCAGTACCGAAGCACTGAATCATGTCATTAACGAAGCACTGACTACTCAATTTATGATTCCCTTGAGGACTAACAGTCCATCAGCAGTGGAATCGACCCAGTGCTATAAAATGAAAGAACTCTTTTAGGAAGTTATATCTGTCATATACGATAATATAAGTCCGTTTGGAAATAATTAGCATTAATGTAACTTTACCATTCTGTTTTTCTTTTATATGTTTTATTATTGCGTAGTTGCAGTAACTTAGAGCTTCCACAAATCCTTTTGCTCAATTCGAAATTTTGAAATAATTCATTAAATAACAATTTCGGTTTCCAATTATTTTAGTCTTTTCTGTAGTACTAAAAGTTAATTTGTAAAGGTGTAACTTACTGTAGTATCAACTGCATTGACCTTTGTTGCTGGTATATAAGTAGGCTTCTTGTTCTCTTGTGATGCAAACACCGTACCTTTCTCTCCTAATGTAATAATAGCATACCGACAACCTTTGTCTAACAACACACCTATTGCTGTTTCAGCTTGAGCAACATCAGAAACTGGTAATCCTGTCATCATTTCTGCCTAATTATGAAAAAAAAACAAAAAATTTATTAATTTTGTTGACTAATTAGTAAACCAATATAGTTTTGAAATATTTAGAACATTTTTCTGTTGCAAGTTTTATCTAAGTATTTCCGTAGAATCATTTTAAAGTTTGTATTTTTATTTCCATGCGCCCGTACTAAGTAAAAAAACTTTCATTGGGGCGATTTGGTGTTGGTAGTTGATCTTTGATAGAATCTGTAAAATGTATTCACAACTGTTTATTACTTCAGGTGATTTAAAACTGCTATATGTTATAATAAAATTGAGAATGGAAATGGGGAATATGTCAAAGAGGCAACAACCCGGCCAAAGAGCAGATAACAGCCGAAGGCCACCAAACATGTATATTGTTGATATAAATCATATGATGACCTCAAGATGTCTTTTATATGTGTTGCTTGGTTGGTGTCCTTTACGTAAAAAGGCGTTATATATGATATGTTCAAATGACTTTTTATTTACTCTTTTTCTAACTTTCGCAATACAAGTGGATATTTAAAGATCAAGCGTGATTTCAACAATATTTAATATATAAATTGTTATCAGATAATCTATGTATAAATGCTACCTACCTCATTTTCATTTGCACACAAAATGTCGGACAAAACAAAGAAATCGTTGGATAGACCGGACTGTGCTGGTGCTGCATTAAAAATACTTCTGACTGTAAAGAAATACACAATCGCTAGCTTTAAATAATATATGCAGTTCCTAAACGAAGCATTTTGTGCAAGTCAATTTCTTGTAAGGTTTATTTTCATAAGAACATGTAATTTGCTATATGATTATTACAAGATTTTGTTTGTTTTTTAAGAGACGGAAGATTCAAAAAGGCAACCAAAATTCATAAATCGAAGAGAAACTGACAATACCATGGCAACATAAAGGACGAAAAGACAAACAACAGGCTACAAAACACTACAAAGAAACAAAAAATGAGCAACATGAACCAACAGAAATCGGGGTTTATCGCAGTTCAGTGGCGTAGCACCAGTGTAGCATTGTAAGCATGTGCTTATACAAATAATTTTATAAAACATGTTTTTTCAATATGAATTTTACTTTAATCGTTCAGGTTCCGGGAGCTGCCGCCCCCAAGACCCCCTGCTTACAATTTATTTTCCAGTTGCTACGCCACTGCAGTTGCTCCCGAAAGGTATGTAACTGATGAAAATAATTTCTTAACGTATCATGGAACCACCATAGCATTATGAACACAACTTTTTTGTAAAGAGTTTTACCCGAGCAATTTCCGCTTAGAATAACTTCGAATCATGTCTTACCGTTATGCTTTCGAGCAAGTTTCAATGTTTCCAATGTAGCTGACAGTCCAACTTCCAACTGACACACCACAACTTTTGAACCTTTGATCAGGTCTTCTACATCCGTCACGTCAACAGCAGTCAGTAATAAATTGGCACCTGGTACTATAACAATCGAATTTTCGCCTAAAACGAGTAAATTCACTCAAATGAAAAAGAAAAGAAAATCCTTTGTTAGTGTAAACAATATTTTATTATGAAATTAAATACATTTTATACAATATAAATTCACATTACGAAGTAAAATACATTTTATACAATATAAATCACATTATGGAAAACATTTAGTTGCCATGATTGATCTGTTACTTTGTTTCAATTCGTACATTTACATGTTTTGAAAATTCAGTATTTGATAAATCATCTAGTCAATTTAAGAAAAAATGTATAACTCTTATATATCTCCAATGTAGCGTTTGATAAAATTATCTTTTGCACTAATTATCCCACCAATTTTGAGACACAATTTCATTCATATGTGTAAGTTCCTTATAACGTGGTCTGACAAACGACAACTTACAAATATCTATTTAAACACCGGTATTTAAACTCAAAAAGATATTTCAAAAATTAGAATTATGGCATTGTTTATATTTAGAAGTTGGTAAAAAAACTAAGTCCTGTTCCTTCACAATAATGGTTCATACAGAAGGAAATCCACACTAAATACACATCTTATAATAATGAAAATTGTCTGAATGCTCAAATAATTCTGGAACACAAATTTCTGCGAACAGTGAAGGTTAGAAGAAAGTATCAAGCGAACTTTACTCCCACAAGAGAAAACCTGAAAAGTCAAGCTTTGCTTTTGTCATTTTATAAGGCTCATATACAATGTACATATGAAAAACTTGCATTAAGTATGCCCAAATTCATCACAGATTAATTATTCGTCATATGTTACATAAGAAAACTTCCAGATGACGATGACAAGATAACCTGTTGTTTTACTTTTCTAATCTCTCGCAATTGCAAGATAGAAGGACATCACACATTTTGCAGGTAAATAAAATTGAGAATGGAAATGGGAAATATGTCAAAGAGACAACAACACAAACAAAGAGCAGACAACAGCCGAAGGCCACCAATGTGTCTTCAATGCAGCGAGAAAATCCCGCACCCGGAGGTGGTCCTCAGCTGGCCCCTGAATAAAATTGTGTGCTAGTTCAGTGAAAATGGACGTCACACTAAACTCCAAAACATATAAATGAACTAAAATTAAAAAAACATACAAGACTAACAAAGGCCAGAGGCTCCTGACTTGGGACAGGCGCAAAAATGCGGCGGGGTTAAACATGTTTTGTGAGATCTCAACCCTCCCCCTATACCTCTAGTCAATGTAGATAAAAGAAACACATAGCAATACGCACAGTAAAACTAAGTTTAAAAGAAATCCGAGTCCGATGTCAGAAAAGGTAACAAAAGAAACTAGGCAAAATGACAATGATACATAACTGAACAAAGGACTACTAGTAGTTACTGACATGTCAGCTCCGAACCTCAATTAAACTGATTGAAAGATTATGTCTTCATCATATGAAAATCAAGTACAATTCCTCCCGTTAGGGGTTTAGTATCATACCATCATAAAATATATGAGAAGAACATAACCCGTATCATGCCAACAACTGGTTTTAGAATAAATGTGTTTATTTCCGATGCAAAGACCCTATGAGTGAATCAGTATTAATACCAAAATATGCAATCCTTAATGACTTGACAACAGTATCGTAACTATATCCTTTCCGAATAAGTCTGTTTAAAGGTTTGGTTAGCTTTTGAGTGAATGCCGACATTTTTGTGCACATCTAGCATAATAAAACATTATTATATGTCTTGCTATAGCATTCTGATGGTTTTGAACGCTGTCTAAGTGAATGAGTTTATTTTGCGTTTATCTATAAAATCAATACATATAAAGAGTATGTCTTTGTATTTTTGCATATTTTTTGCACAGACAGAAAAAGGGTACAGTCATTACCAAATGGATTACTATATACTATCCAATGTTAAATCATTTAAGTACATACGGCAAAATTTCCTTTTAAGTATAACAAATATTACTAACAGAATTGTGTCTAGAATTTTTTATCGTAAAAATTTCGTGGAGGGATGGTCTATAATGTATTCGTCTCTCCCGATGGACTACTCTATATCAAAAGAAATTTCAAGTCTGCAAGTCAGATCTCCGAGTTTTTTTTCATCCTGATGGTGACTTTGAGGGTAAATATATTTTAAACGAACGGATTATACAATTCATTCCTAACCTGTATCAGCAATGGTAATGGCAGCTATACCGGTACTCGATTGGTCAGTAACTGCCATATAATCTGAAATTTGAATGTTATTGAAACCTATTGAAACATTTGATTATTATATCGAAAATATATGCAAATTGCTTTTACAGTATCTTTTATCAAAAATGTATCTGTAAAATAACAAATATCAGTTGCATCTATTAAAAGCTTCCTCGAGGTCTATTTGATAAATCTTACTCGTGTCACCTTGTACATTGTTATATTAATTATGTTTGAAATAAAGCTATTTATTGTCTTTGGAATACAAATTGGTTCATTTTGGTTAGCGACGTCCTTCCATTCAAAATTTGACACACAAAAAATGTAAAATTTGCAATTTTATTTCCAAATGCCTTCATTGGCAACATGTAGCGTTGAATAACATTTCGAATACATTGAAATATCTAATTTTGTTTTTTTAAATTTTTACTAATTTTAGATATATGATACATGTATAGAATCTTTAATATTTAATATCCAGTTCAAACAGTTATTGGATTTTGACTCTGTGAATGAAACAAATACACGAGAAATTCGCCTTACATTTTGCTGCGTTCGAAGATATTTTCATCGTAAACCTTTATCAAGAGCGTATCGAGTCAGATATTTTGAGAGTACAAAATTACTTTGTGTTTTCTATACATGTATTAATCCTTTCAAATCAACTTTTTATAGTGATACTTACATTGAGAAAGTTGTTTTACTTACCAGTTGTTACACCGTTACTCTTAAAATTATCAATCGTTCTGTTTCCATTGTCGTCGTTTCCAACCTAAAGAAAATTCGATATACGTGACCTACATTTTCTCTTTGTAACGATATCTGGTGAGAAGTGAATCTTAGTAATTCCAACGGTAACAAAAAAATAACTATCGCAAGCACTTTGCAAAGCAATTTATGTCAATGGTTTTTTAAATAAAACCTAACGCACTCGTCGTCATTAGGGTGAGGAGTAGTGTGAGGATGTAGCATAACCTGTGGCCGAATTTGGAATTCAGATATTAGCCCAGTCCTGTCTTCAACTTTCCATTTTTCAGTTTTGGTATTTTCTGCTGCCAATCAAAATAAGTCATTGGGGTCATGGCTGGACTATGGTAACAACGTAAAAACAATGTTAATTTCTATAAAGAACAAAGAGTAACTTCAGTTTCTTAAGAATATCAAAAACAGGTCGTCGGACGACAGAGTAGTAAAGAGCTAACTATCAGCACGTACCAGACTCCTTTTAATAACCCAATTTTCAACCAGAAACCAAATGACGTAAAAGTTAGCAACTATAGGTCGCCATACGGCCTTCAACAATGAGCAAAACCAATACCTGTAATTCAGTGGTTGTCGTTTGTTGCTGTATATTATATTTGTGTTTCGTTAATTGTTACTACATTAATCAGGCCGTTAGTTTTCTTATTTGAATTGTTTTATATTAGTCATGTCGGGACCTTTTATAACTTGCTATGCTGTATTGGTTTGGCTCATTGCTGAAGGCCGTACGGTGACCTATAGTTGCTATCTTCCAAGTCATTAGTTGGGAGTTGTCTAATTTGCAATCATACCACATCTGCTTCTTTTTTATAACCTAAAAATATCTATTATATTGTATTCCTCACCTTTCCTACCATTGCCGTTTTACAGCCAAGCCTTGCTGCTGATACACACTGATTTGCACCCTTCCCTCCAAATCCAACTACATATTTATGCCCAGTCATAGTTTCTCCCGGCTTTGGAAACCTCTGAGCATATCTGGCAATGAAGAAGCGAAAATCAAGTTACCGTAATTGATAATCCATTAGTTTAGAAATTAATGGTCATTTAAGGATCTGTTGTTACCTAAAAGCCTTACATTTTGAGCTTTTATAATATTTGTACAAATGTATATCTTTCAGTAAAAATAATTTAGCCATGTTTGCATACTCTGAAATGTTTTTTTCCGCAGTTCAAAGAAATACTGCTGATTAAAAATTTGCAAACTATCCAAGATATGTAACTAGTACAAGTTGTTCTCTTTATCTTTTGTCCTGTGAACACGAATGGGTATGCGGATATATTATATCAAAATTACCAACTATATTATAAAAGCGGGATGTATTGACTAATTTTCTATATGGTACGATCATCTATAAACCATATATCCAATATTTTTTTTTACTGGAAGAACTATACAAAATAAATTGTCCTCTTTACGAAAACTCAGTGAAACATTGAACAGAAAATAATGTAAATCAGAAGAAGACATATACTAGTTACTTTATCCTAGGAGAACATGATTTATTTATTAGTTGTAATTGGCTTTGAACTAGCTTTCCGTAACTGCGAGTACTCTTTAATATATCGGTGCTTTGTGTCTATTGTTTTTATTTTAGTTGTTTTTATGCTTCGTACCGATCTATTGAATTAAGAATATCTCAGGTTAGAGGGGTGGTTGAGCGCTAACAAACATGTTTAACCCCGCAACATTCTCTATGTGCCTGTCCCAAGTTAGGAGCTTTTAATGCAGAGGTTACCGTTGGTTCTGGATGTTTCTCATATTCATTTTTCGTCAATTGTATTGTTCTGAATTATGCCATAGTTTTCTTGTTTATATTGTTTCAGATTTTTCATGTCGAGCCTTTTATGGTGTGGGTTTTCTCATTGTTGATGGCCATCCGGTGACCTATATTTGCGTATATCCACGTCATTTGGTGGATAATTGTCTCATTGACAGTCATACAACATCTCCTTATTTTTATAATACTCGATGCAAAATGAAGATACATAAATAACTTTCAAATGCAGACAACACTATAAAGCTGGCTATAAAAAGTCAAAATAACCGAGATTGTTAATCCAGAGAATTTCTTATGGGCACAAAAATTAGCAAATAATTAAGGGTTTTTTTAAGTCAGCGACAACACATCTTGGAAAATATAAGCTTCAATTGGTCAGTATACAAATCGATTGGATTAACTTCTTTGGAGTACCATCTTTTCGCTCGTTTTACTTTAGAAACCATGCAGCTGTAGTGATGACGATGGAAGGACAATCGAGTTGTTGTCTCTCTCTCTCTCTCTCTCTCTCTCTCTCTCTCTCTCTCTCTCTCTCTCTCTCTCTCTCTCTCTCTCTCTCTCCAGTAGCGTCATATTCGAGCTGTGAGAGCAGAAGTATTGTACTACGGTTTCCTCAACACATTTTTGGCAGCCACTGATGTTTCCGAAGGTGTTGGTTGATTTCTTTGTTATGTTGGAAATGTGAGGACACTTTGTGATATTGCTGTCGATGGTAACTCCCTGGTACTTGATCCGGTCTGTCATCTGTAGTATGTGGCCATGAATGGAGTTAAAAATATCTTCATCCAATCCGCCGATTCCAGTTGTCGTATATATGTGGTAAAAATCCTTCTGCATTATGTTATCATCTTCTCCTTCAATAATTATGTATAGAAGAAGTCGTTTGTTGATAACCTTGTGAATAGAAAATAGAATGGAAACGGGGAAACCCGACCAAAGGGCAAAAACGGCTAGCTCAAGGCGGGCTTCAGCTGGCCCATAAACAACAATGTATACTAGTTCAGTGAAATGGACACCACAACAAAAATCTGAAACATTCAAATAAACCAAATTTGAAAAAATTGTCAGTTGACTTGTGTCCGTTACTGGATTCAGTAGGATGCCGTGGGTATATTTTGTTAATGCCGCATGCATGTCTGACTAAACAGAAATACACTAGCCACAGTTCTGTAAACTTCAAATATTACAGGAGCTTGCTTAGACGACACGCCACCAACTACAACTTACTGCTGTCTGCCTGTAAGAAAGCTCCTAGTTTAATACCCCTAACATCGCACTGTGTACTGTAGTTTGATTAATTCTTTTATAAGTGGGACACCATCAAAAGCCCTTTACTGTTTAAGGGTCTAACAGGACAACATTGAAGGGTGGAATTTAGACTGATTGTGAAATCATCGATCGTGTTAACGAGTTGGATTTGGCTAGACTGTCGCCTCTTGAACCTTTGCTGTACAATGTTTAAACAGTGTGAATTCCCTTACTGAAAAAATCAGCCTCCTGCAAACATTTGCTGCAAGTCAGACTTGCAGCGAACACAGAGTCTGTATTTGCGGCATGTTTGCTGCAAATACGCTGCAGGTCTGCCGCAAACAATTTACCATGTAAATGAGTGTTTGCTGCAGACCAGCTGCAAACATTTATATGCAAATGATTGTTTGCTGCAGACCTGCTGCAAACATTTTTATGCAAATGAATCTTTCTCCTGCGTGTTTGCTGCAGACCTGCGGCAAACATTTATATTCAAATTAATCTTTCTCCTGCGTGTTTACTGCAAACTTGCAGGAACTACATATGTTATACAGTCAACCAATGTCATGTTGTGTACATACATACATACATACATACATACATACATACATACATACATACATACATACATACATACATACATACATACATACATACATACATACATACATACATACATACATACATACATACATACATACATACATACATACATACATACATACATACATACAATGATTCAAATACTTTATCATTTGAAAAATTATCATAGCATAAGTTAATACTTTTTAAAAATTAATTTAAAGTGTTTTTTGTCGTTCAAGTACGTGCTCAAATGAACTGCATGCATGAATATCTAAAATTCAAAAAAAGGTTTATTTGAAATTTAGTGTGTGCATGTATACAGCCTTTTTATTTTAAATAGTCACAAGATTCAACTTGACTTATAACAAGAAAATATTTAATAAGTTACAATCTCCAAATATATTAGAGAGTACGTATATTGCATGCATGGTTACATACTTGAAAATGTTTTTCAAACCTTCACGCATGCAGATAAATTTGTGAAGGGGACGAATTTCATAAGTTTACACTTCTATGAATAATTTGTACTTACAAATAATGTCTTTGAAAACTAAACTTTTAATTTCCAAACAAAAATGCCTCCCTGAACACTAATATATATTAACATGACTCAAACACCATCAACACTTTCAAATTTCAAATCTTTATCTTCCAGGAAGTTACCAATAGGCATGCTCAGTCATTTTATGTAGTTCTTGCAATGCTCTTGCAAACATTTAGAATTGTCAAATATTTCTGCAATCTAGCTGCGAACATCCCTTATATTCTAGTTTTTCCTGCAATCTTACTGCAAACATATTTGTTTCTGCAAACTTGCCGCAAGCTTGCAGCAAAAAGCTGCAATGTTTGCAGGAGGTTTGCATCTAGCTGCAAACATCTGCAAACATTATTCAAAGGGTTCCTGCAAGCTTTTTGTTTGCAGCAGATCTGCTGCAAACATTTCAGTTCTGTAAGGGAACGTAAAAGGTGGGCGTTGCCCAATTCAGTATATTTTTTTTATTTTACACAACATATAATTTTGGAGAGTGTTGTACATGATTTTTACATTTCTTATTTCTTAATTCAATGCTTACGTTGAAAGGTCCATGTTACAACTACCAACGACTGTCACGTCCATAATGAAAGAGAAAGTAGGTTTACGTGTATAAATTGAAAGTAGAATCACTGAATGTGAAAATAATTTTGTTAACTCATATCACTGATAAATAAATAATGATTTCATTTTATTTTTTAATCATATTAAATTCTATTTACCAATTTTTGGGCGTGTTGAATGATATATTGAAGGTAACAATTACCTTTTAACAAAAAAAGACAACAGGAGATCCACAACATATGATCACATATATGGTATCTTATTAGTGTATACGAGTTACAATGTTTTTTTGAGTTATCGTTCCTGATATGACGAACGAAAATGAAAGTAGATTTTCACCAGTGAAGAAGCATGGTAAAAGTAAAAATACTTCTAGTACTAGATTTTATTCATAATCAAAATCACTCCATATATGTTTAATGATATTTACACAATAAGTCGACAAGTAATGCATCTCTCTGAAGAAACGTGGCCAACGTGACTGAAACTTGAGCAGTCCAAATTTGGACTTACTAAGTGTAAAACTTGACTCTTTAGATACCAGAAGGGTATAACGACTTCACGAGACCTCCCAAAACTCAATATGAACTAGAGAACCGATAGATATTACATGAAAACTCTTTTTTACATGGTGTGATAATAAAGACTACAAATCTGAGATATATGTCATTTTTACTAAATAAACATGATAAAAGTACAATTTAACTTTAGGAATTCGATTTGTGTTTCTTGTATGGAATTTCCTTGTATAACAACATGTGTGGGTTTGTGGCCTAGTGGTTGAGACTAATGGCTACAGTGCTGAACGTCTCTGGTTCGATCAGGACTCGGGGAGCTGGAAATTTCAGTACATTAGGAACTGGGGTCCATTCGCCCAAAATCACGTTCGCTCCCATTCACGAGGGGCCTGGTGGGTTATTTTCGTTCTTTGTGATCGGCGCATTTTCGCTATCGTGATCCGTTTTTCTACAGATTTTTTTTTTTTATATTTTCCTGATCCGTGATCATGGAAATTTATTTTCTGTGAATCGTGATTGACAAAAAAATCAACTCGTGAATCGTGATTACTCATGAGACCCCCCTTATCAGGCCCCTCATTCACAGGTATCTGTTAGTGTTTTATTATAATTATTGAATACAAAATTGTCATGATGATCAAAGTTCATTCATTTAAGACATGCGAAAGAAGGCGGAATATACAAAACAGCTATCAAATTCGTGACAATGTCATTGCCACGACAACAAAGAATAACACAAAACTTGGGACACAAAGAACATTTTTAGGTGTGCATGGTGTTGCATGTCAGTTATAAGTACCTACAGAGAATTTATTTCCATGTTTAAAGAAGATATATGCATAATGAACATTTGATAATTAACATGGCATCAAATCACAACAGCAAAAAAAATATTTCATATAAAAATTCCCAAATTTTGATTTTCCCACATCTCTGGTACCCAGACCGGAGTTTAAACTCGAATGGGTACTTTGGGGGCCTTGGTTGGTTTGTTGCCTCCAACTTTAATCTGGAGATCAATCTATATCTCTTTGGTTTATCTTTTCCTGCCTAGAAGTGCTGGGGTTCTCTCCGAGTACTTCAGCTTCCTATACCATAATAACAGACTTCCCAGTGTCCTAACACCTACTCTGTGTTGAGGTGGGGATTGTCCTGGTGGTGGGTTGTATATAAATTAGTGACACATCTCCATTAATCCTGATGGGGAGTGTACACGGATTCCACTGTACCCTCACAGCAATCGAGGTCTGCTTTGTTCTTGGAGGGATCTTTTTGCATACATACATACATACGTACATACATTTGGTGGACAAAATTATTCAAAAGTTAAATAACTGTATCTAAATTAAAGTGTTAAAAAGTTTTGAGGGATAAGTTTCTTTAACAATGTAAATTTGGATAGAAAAAACATTATTTGGAAATATTAACTTAAATTTAAAAAAAAATTATTATATGTAAGTACTTTTTATACTTTTTTTTATATAGAGTTATCTACCTTTGGAATAATTACTATTGCCATATTGTAATACAAGGAACTTGCATACATGTACAAGACACACAAATCTAATTCCAGAAGTTCAATCATACATTAATTAAGTAAAAATGACATATATCTCTTTTCTCAAAATAATAGACTTTATTATCTTTAAAAGCAGTATTAGAGTTTTGGGGTAATATCTTTCAGTTCTTGGGGAAATCGTCGTACCAGATCCAGAATAGTGTCAGTTTTTCAAATTCATTTAACATTTCAGCTGAAATCACAATTAACTATTAAATTGATTATTGTGAAAAATTCTTACCATGAAGTAAATTTTATACTGAAAGCAACTCATACATCAGGGTTGATATGGAGGGAAAGTTTCTATATTGAAGCAGAATAATGCTGTTCATTTCCTCAAAACCAACTCAGTGGCAATAGATAATAGTCATATTGTGTATTCATTTCAACAAAACAAATTAAGTGGCAATAGATAATATATACATTCATGCAAAAAGAAATGTATGTCATACTATCATTTCAAATAAATAAGCATTTCCTCAAATTAATCTTGAACTTAATACAAATTAATTGAAACTTACTCTAGAAACAGAGTTTCTGAAGCATAGTTGCCATTTATTACATGTATTAGCATTTTGTGTGTAATTCAGGCATTTTCTATTGTTTATATACATTATTTTGATCACAAGGTGTGTACACACATTCTCCATCTTAACATGCGATAACATGCATTCTATATATTATATGATCAAGATTTTCTGTGTTTATTTGTTTACTTTTCAATTCGAAATTTTCAGGTTTTTTCCATAGATTGTAATATACCAAGGTTACAAATGGTTTCTGAGCACTACAAATAAAGATTTTTCAATTGCAAAATTCTGTGTTGTGGTCCTTTTCTGGAACGCTTAAGCTTCATATAAAGAGGAAAAGGTAGTTTTGTGCTAATGAAAGTGTTAAGCACCCTTGTAACTTGTTTACTGTTAACATTTACTTTACTTTTTTTTAAAAAGTGATAAAAGCACACTCACATACTCCACACCCCCACATTGTCACTTGGCAAACAAAATCTCACCAGATTTGTAAGTTCAAAGACTCATAACTCCTACATTTGTCAACCGATAACATTTTTTTGGGTGAAAATGCACATCAACATTGTATGTCCATATTATCTACAAAGTTTCGTAAAATTCTGTTGTGTGGTTTCTGAGGAGTTGCAATGACAAATTGTTGTAGTAGCATATTTAGGGCAAAATTCTAAGTTCAGAGGGGCATAAATACTAGAAAAAATATAGACTCATAACATCCTGCCATTATCATGGTTATACACATCTACATAGTTAGTCTTACATAGTTAGTCCTTATTATCTCCAAAGTTTCATGAAATTCTGTTGTGTGGTTTCAGAGGAGTAGCGATAACAAACTGTTGCAGTTGTATATTTAGGCTGAGACTACTATAACACATGTGTTATAGTAGTCTCAGATTTTGGGCAAAATTATAAGTTCATAGGGAATAACAGCCAGAAAAAAATTGGAATCATAATTTTCTTTCGATATCCACATCTACATAGTATGTCCTTATTATCTACAAAGTTTCATGAAATTCTGTATGGTTTCAGAGGAGTTGTGATGACAAGAACCGGACTGACAGACTGACTGACAGACTGACGGACAGACGTGTTAAAAACATAGAAAATTTGTTTCAAGGGGTATTATTAGATATTTAAAAACTCAAAATTGCTTAAAACTTGTTGAATTTTTTATTATATGTCAAACCCAAGTCACACCCTTCCTGCCCGGTGCAAAATGAATTCAACCCTCAAAGGGCATATCAGCACAGAGGAATTTTTCTTTGAAATAGGGATGCTTTAATTGTTAGGGCTATTTTAGAAAAAATGTATGGGTGGTTGGGGGGTTGGAAGACAGTTTGTTTCAGCACCAGCCACCCAGACAATTGTAATTGAGAATCATAGTGCATTATAGTGTGAAAAACTGCTCTGATACCCATCACCTGTGTATTATTAATATAAAGTGCCTTTCAACCCCCCCCCCCCCCTTTACATTTTTTTCTGGAATAGCCCGTACTAATTTTTAGTAGGCAATTTCCAAGTTTATGCTACAACAGTTAGCAGGTATGTAATGGCATACTTTTTTATTTACAGGGAATGTAAAAGAGCTGAATAAAAGTGGAAATTTAACAGGAAGTGAAAGACAAATCAAAGATGGTGTAGCAGATGTGTACAATCTTATTCAAAAATGGAAGAATGCTAACTCAGATGGAATGCAAATTATTGACACCATAGCTAATATTAAGCTGCAACATGTGTAAGATTGCTGAATCACACAAAAATATGTTTCCTATACACTTAAAGGACATTTTTTTATACCTACTTACTTATATTTGAATTTCAATATAATGCATTTTCAAAATTTAATTTTGTCAGTGTAATTTTTAAAATTCATGAGTACATATTCTGATTATTAAATGGAAAGCCAGTTTTATTATGTTTATAAATAATTAATTAATTGGTAATTTTTTCATTAATTTTAGGACAGTAGGAGTGTGTCCAATTCAATTTTAATCCATGTTGAGTTTCAGTATAAATACTTACTGATACCCCTTTTAAAGAGTATGAATATAAAAAATAAAGAAAACAAAATTCTCTTCAATGAAAAAGAAATAAAGATGCATAAAATGCTCATTCCCAAATAAACAGAAAGTTGTCTCAGATTTTAATTTAAAAGAATTGTGTACAGCTCATGCAAATTAAAATTGTATTTTTCCTACATACATGACATATTGTATATGTTTTTGTTGTATAGTTATAAAGAGAATAAATATGACAACATACCAAATGCCAGTATACCTGAAGAATTAGAATCACAATGTACATTACTACTGAGTATTATTCAGAAAATGGTGAGTTAATCAAAATGATTTGAATAATTTTTGTATATTCTTAAGGATGGCTTATTCAAATATTTCACTTTTTTATCAATGTTACTTAATATATCTTATATTATTTGAAATAGAAACAATCAAATATAAGATGGATGTGGAAGAGACAATACAGTGTCCGTTCATTAACATGAAAACGCTTTGATGAAATCTTTTCAAATTTAGATATGTTGTGTCTTGTGACTAAATGAAGGTCAAGTTCAATTTTCACGATTTTAGCTGTTCTCGTTGTTGAGTTGTAGACCTTTTTAGTAGCAAAAGTGCTTATTATATGATTTATTCAGTTTGAGCTATTTCCCTTTGAACAGAAATGGTATAATTAATATAAAGTATATGGATAAAATTAAACTTCATTTCAACATAAATTGAATATATATAGGGTTCTTTCAAATGCTGAATCTAAACCTGTATTTCAATATTGGATTTTTGGGCCGTTTTTCAAGTTGGTCCATATCAGGGTCAAAAATTAAACTTTGTTTGATTTCAACAAAAATTGAATTTATGGGGTTCTTTGAAATGCTGAATCTAACCATGTATTTTGGATTTTTGGCTCCATTATCAAATTGGTCCACATTGAGGTCAGAAGGGTCCTAAATTAAACTTTTGTTTGATTTCATCAAATATTGAATTTATGTTTTTTTTTGAAATGCTGAATCTAACTATGTATTTAGAGATTTTGGCTTTTGGGCTCCTTTATCAAATTGGTCCACATTGAGGTCCAAAGGCTCCTAAATTAAACTTTTGTTTGATTTCATCAAAAATTGAATTCTTGGGGTTCTTTGATATGCTGATTCTAACAATGTACTTAGATTTTTGATATTGGACCAAAATAGGTAAATGTCCAATTTCAAATTTTTCAGTTCTTTGACCACATTCATTTTGTGTCACAAACCTATGCTGTGTCAAATATTTAATCACAATCCAAATTCAGATCTGTTTTAAGCTTAAATGTAGTATCCATACTTGCTCAACTGTTCAGGGTTCGACCTCTGCAGGAAATCCGGTTTGCTGTCACTCTGACAGCCTCTTGTTTCCAAAACATAATTTGAAGCCATTTCTTTGCAAATATTGTGACTTAATTCTAATTTCCATACCATAAGTGCAAAAATAATGGCATTCTTTTACAGAAAAGTCTTTTATCAATTTGTAAATATCTTTCTGCAATAGACCAACTTTTGACTCGGGAGTAAAAAACTTTTCAACAGGTTACCTACTCTGGCTGGACAACTGGAATGCATTACTGAAGCAATGCAGTTTCAACAGTTAAGATAAAAACACTATCACAGGGAAAAGGATAGAAATTGGATTCACTGCTGAAAATCTGGTCGTTAATTTTAGTCCCTGTCTGTGGTAGGACATTCTGTTAATCAATCAAGTAAGAGCAACTAAAAGAAGTAAAATCAAGCTTACAATTCGTACAATTTTGGAAAAAAATAACTGTTTTATGTTTTCTATATAAGTCAAAATCATTGGAAAATTGGTAAATTATATACTTCGTAGTCAAAAATGGATAATATGAAAATAGTCTTATTTACAGGAATTGTTGTTGTGCAGCACAGACTAAAGAAGTTTTTTTATAGGATAGATAGGAAAAGCTTTTGTGTTTTGAATTCATATGCAAATAACAGCATAACAGTTTGAATGTCCCTCTGGTATCTTTCACCCCTCTTTTGGTTGAGTGGAAGCTTCTGTTGAATGTTACATGGTTTAACACAACCAATATAGTTACCATGATCCTAAAATGTCTTATTTATATTCTTTTTTCAGGAAAAAATTGTGAAGAAATTGGTAGTAACATCGGCTATGTTTGTGGGTGTGATGAAACTTCAACAGCATCTCACTGATGATTTGGTTTTGTTTCAAACCTGGACTCCTGATATATTTGGTAAATATATAAGGAAGACTAAACATTAAGGAATTGGATAATTGATAGTTTGAAGGGAACTCATACTTGAACATAATAGGTGGAATGATATCCCATGTGACAGTCAGGGGTACTACTTATACAAGTAATTTTTATTTACTTGAAGCCTATTGACTTTGAAACTTTTCATAGTTTACATGTATTAGTTTGTGATTAGGTCAATTTATGGGGAACCACTAGTGGTAGGTTAATGATATTTGATATGCAGTTGTATAAGCATTGGCATATCTCATTTCCATGGAGATTATTTGGCTCCGCCTCCTTAGTCATGGTCTATAGACTTTGAAAATTTTGCTAAGTTAACATGTATTACTTTGTGATTGGGTCAGTTCAAGGGGAACCATTTGTAGTAGGCCAATGTTAATTGGTGTTCAGTTGTATAAGCATAAGCACATCTCATTTCCATGGAGAATATTTGGCCCCGCCCCCTCAGTCATGGTCTATTGACTTTGAAACTTTTGCTTAGTTTACATGTATTAGTTTGTGATTAGATCAGTTTAAGATGAACCACTAATGTTAAGTCAATGATATTCGGTATGCAAATGTATTGGCATTTGCAAGTTTCATTTCCATGGAGATTTTATAACCCCACCCCCTAATTATGGTTCATTGACTTTAAAACTTTCACATAGTTTACAAGTAAATGTTTGTGTTTAGGTTTGTTTAAAGGGAACGACTTATGAAAAGTCAATGGTATTTGGTTTGCAGTTGTATTAGCATTGGCACATCTCATTTCCATGGAGATTGTTTAGCCCTGTACCTTCAGAAATGGTTCATTGACTTTGAATATTTGCACAACTTACATGTTAAAGTATTGCTATTTTACTTTCAACATTTGCATTATCAAAATAACAAATAGGCGAGACATATCTCTGTGTTAACAGTTTATTTATATATATATATGTAAGACTCTGAGGTGTGATGGCTACGCTGAAGTGTGATGTACCGAAGTGCAATGGTCCTTTCGCTGATGTGCCATGGTCTATAAGACGCTTGAAGGCTTGTTTGAAATATGCAAATGTCCAATTATTATAAGAGCTTGAATTTTGTATAAGTTAGTATATAAATACCAAACATTCAATATTTTCTCCAGTTGCAGTAAAAAAAATCGATGATATATCTTGTTCCTTGTTCTTTTTTACAGCAGCCATATACATTTTTCGCTTTTTTTTGTTTCTTTCGGACTAACGAAGAAGTATTTGAATTTCAAACAACTACCACCCACATTTCATTTTTTTGTCTGTCATTGCCATTAGTACTGCTTTTAAAGAAAAATAGCTTTTGTATATAATGTCAATTTGTGAACGATTGTATGAATGACTGCTTTTTTTTGTCTAAGATATTTACAAAGTTTCGTATAATGTACACTACAACATTACAGTGAGGACTGGAAATGCAGATGACTATTTATCTTGACTGTTTTAAATTAAACAGGTTACACTCTCTATGATCTACATTAAAAAAAAAGAAAAGCTCCTTCTAAAAAAAGAAATTGACTTTATACATCGACATGTAAACATGGAAAACAATGAAATATGATTTATGTAATCCATCGCACTTAAGCAAAATCCACCATTGCACAAGATAGCATCACAATGCCACAACACACTTCGGCGTGATCAAAAACACACCTCAGCGTCAAACCATCGTACATTAGCGTGACCATTGCGGTTCAGAGTACCATTGTGGTTCAGAGTCCTACATATATATATGTATTAAACATACTTTTTAATGTATCAAAGAACTAGTTATTTTGCCAGGGGAAATAACTTTGTTACATTTTCATATTAAGATTCTTTGTAATGATAAGTTTGTAATCAGTAAACATTCACAGAAAACTAAGATTGAGCAACATGAACCCCACTTAACTCATTACTGGACATTTTTTTTAAAACTTGTCTTTATTCTTATGTTCATAATTCAACATTAACCCTACCTAAAGAAAAATATTAATTTTATCATTTAAGCATTTATTAAAGCATTCCTAAGGAAATTATCCCCAATTAGAATATTCATTGCTCTGCTCAACGTACTGACATAGATTTTATACCCAACAAAGGCACAAATGACGTCAAATAACGTCAACTTAAAACAAACTCTGTGACGGAAAGATCATGATTGGAATGCTTTTACACACCTTTTTGTTTTAAAGTTTTCAATATTTTAAGTAATATAATTAAAACTTCAATCAAGATTAGTAATTACTTCGGACTTTGAATTAAAAAGTACAGTTCATTGAAACTAACACTATCATATAAGGTAGTGAAATATCAAACAAAAAACAAAAATGTTTCAAAAGTGACCTGAATTCTGTTAAAGGAAAACACAGGCAAAAAAGATAAAATCTTTTACTAAAATCACTAAAATTAATTCGAGTTGGCCAAAAATACTAAATTCGCAAAAACAAAAACAGACAGAGAGAAGCCAACTTTTTCTTTAAAAATCCATGTTTTATTATAGAAAAAAAAATAAAGTTTTTTAATTGTTTGTCAGATTTTTACTATTTTATGTTTTAGTTTCTACAGTAAGAGAACTGACAGAAATGTATAGAGAGGAATATAAACTGAAACAACTGGTTTACAAGAACATTTGTCATGCAAAAGATCGTAATACAATGATGTTTTACACATCGTCATGGTTACATCAACCTTATGTAACAGATAAAAGTCATGTTTTATTAGAAAGCATGCTGTTAGAAACTGGACATAAATTAAATTGAAATATTTATTGCACACACCTCAAAATTTAATATTTATGATATTTTGTTTACACTTATTTGTTAATAGCTGCCTATAAAACATTGTACCATTGTTTAAAGCTTTCACCATGATTTATTGATGCATGCAATTACATGTAATCATTTTATTGTTTGGGTTTTTTTCTTCGTAAATGAGAAATGTAAAAACCAACAACTCAATGCTGTTAGTTTTTTCATTTGAATTGTATTACATATTGCCATGTCAGGGCATTTTATAACTTGCTTTAGAATATAGGTTTTGTTCATTGTCTAAGGCCTAAGGTGACCTAAAGTTGCTAACTTCCACATTATTTGGTATCTGGTGGAGAGTTGTTCTCATTTGAATTGTTTTACATTTTGTCATATCAAGGCCTTTTATATTTTATTAATTATATGGTATGGGTTTTGCTCATCATTGAAGGCTGTATGGTAACTTATAGCTGCTTATTTTCACATTTAACTTTTGTTTGATAGGACGGTGTCTCATTGACAATAATACTACATCTCCTTATTTTTTTAAACTAAAGGAGTTAAGATCTGTTTACCTCCCTGCTACTATGTTTACATACTATCAAACATAGTTTATCTGGCTTTGATACCTGCAATCCATTTATTATTTAGACTACCTTTATTATTATTCGTGGGACACCAATTTTCGTGGATTTAGTGTGTACAGGTGAACCATGAATTTAAATGTTCAACAAATTACACATTTTCTATAGGCTTGTATTCAGACTTTGGCAAAACCAGTTAATCAAATATCCACTAATATCAAACTAAATTTTCTTCTATGTTTTTGCATCTGGATGGTTTTAAGTCTTCAAGAAACCATAATGACACAAAACAGAAAACTTAATTCACATAGATTTTTCCTGACCCCCCCCCCCTTGTAACTTAACTTGGAAAATATTGATTGACCAGTATTAGTACTGCAACTGACCTCGCAAAAGTTGCTTAGTTAACGAGTTTAATGTACCGGAATAACACACGGCTGGATATTGTTTGAAATGATAGAATAATATCTATATTTTTATTTTCGTTTGGTCGTAAAAACTTTCTATCGTCACATTTTTAGCTCACCGGGGCCAAAAGGGCCCCATGTGAGCGTATGCCATCACTTGGTGTCTGTTGCTGTCGTCTGTCGTTGTCGTCGTCGTCTGTCGTCGTAAACTATTTAAAAAATCTTCTCCTCTGAAACTACTGGGCCAAATACCTTCAAACTTTAACTAAATGTTCCTTAGGGTATCTAGTTTATAAATTGTATCCGAAGTTTTGATCCATTGACAAACATGGCCGCCATGGCTAAAAATAGAATATAGGGGTCAAATGCAGTTTTTGGCTTATATCTCAAAAACTAAAGCTTTTAGAGCAAATCTGACATGGGGTAAAATTGTTCAATTGGTCAAGATTCATCAGCTCTGAAATTTATTTTCAGACAAATCGAACAACCCATTGTTTGGTTGCTGCCACTGAATTGGTAGTTTTAACAAAATTTTGCAGTTTTTTGTTATTATTTTGAATATTATTATAGATATATATAAACTGTAAGCAACAATAATGTTCAGCAAAGTAAGATCTACAAAAAAGTTAATATGACCATAATTGTCAATTGACCCCTTAAGGAGTTATTGCCCTTTAAAGACAATTTGTTCATCAAGTTTGCTAACATTTAAAAATCTTCTCCTCTGAAACTACTGGGCCAATTACCTTCAAACTTTAACTAAATGTTCCTTAGGGTATCTTGTTTATAAATTGTATCCGAAGTTTGTATCCATCGACAAACATGGCCGCCATGGCTTAAAATAGAACATAAGGGTCAAATGCAGTTTTTGGCTTATATCATCAAGTTTGCAAACATTTAAAAATCTTCTCTGAAATACAGGTGAGTGATTCAGGCTCTTGAGAGCCTCTTGTTTGTATTTTAGCCTGTTTATGGGGTATTCCTCAATTTATGGTTTTGGGTAGTCAATTTTGAATTTAAAAAAAATGAATGTTTTATTCACTTTTAGGCTCTGTTTGTAAATATTTTCAATGCACATATCAGCAAGGGTCATGAGAATGCATCTTCGCTAGCCAAGGGATAGATCCACTTCCCTCCTCTCCACCCTTGGCAGATTAAGCCAACATTTGTGATAACAATGTTGCGCCATCTAGATTAAAGTCACGCCCATTCCGAATACATTATTCTTGACCAATGGTAGCACTTGAACTCTTCAATTTGGAGGTAAAAACACGGTAGCGTCTAGATTCTACACACTTGGTAAAGCAGGAAACAAAAATATACGTTGACATTCATGCATTTGTGCATACATACACAGGAACTTCTATTAGTTGATTAAAAACATTCAAATTGTCACTAAATATAGTCGTATGTTTAGGGATGTAAAGACTTGTTGCACAATAAGCACGTGTCAATTGTTTACATACACTTTCTACATTTACACGTGATCATGTTATAGGCGTCTTTTGATTGGATGCAGCGAGTTTCGACTGCAACCAATGAAAATCATTATCTTGTGTCCTTGAAATTCTATCTCAATCTGCGAAGGGTGGAGAGGAGGGAAGTGGATCGTAACCCTTGGCTAGCGAAGATGATGAGAATGATGAAGACATAAATGATAAACCATTCCCGAATAAAATTTTACGACCTAAAGTTCAAAGGTTTTTATCTGGAAATTTAATGCATTTTTCTCTGAAAACGAGAAAACATATGATTCAAAAACATTACTTTATATTTGAGTGGAAAGAATATATTAGTGAGAGACTGCATGCAAATTTTGATGGACAAACTGCAAATAGTTTTGTTAAAAATCAAGCAATAAAAACATCACTTGTACCTTTTTTTAACTACGGAATTTTCATATCTGTCATTCACACCCATTATTTATAGTAACATGCATCAAGTTCAATTATTAGGTCTTTTTCAACAATAAATTTGATAGTTTTGCCATGATGTGATTTTGTACATTATCTGTGAATTATTAGATATTTTTGAATTTTTATACGCCCGTTTACGGGACGTATAATGGTATACCGTTGACCGTCTGTCCGTCCGTCATCAACATGTCGGACATTAACTCTAAAAAGCTTTAACCAATATGCATGAAACTTTGGTGAATTGTTTATATCTATTGACGTGAGCTCCCTTTCGTTTTTTATAAATTTCAGATTTACCGTTTCTGAGTTTTGGGGTTTTATTCATTAAAAAAGGGGTGGTTTTCCAGTTTTCCGACAATAACTCAAGAATGCTTTCACCAACTTGCAAGAAATTTTGGTGAATTGTTCATATCTATTGACATGACCTCCCTTTCGATTTTTATAAATTTTAGATTTTACGTTTCCGCGTTACAGGGTTTTATTCATAAAAAAGGGTGATTTTCCAGTTTTCGGACAATAACTAAAAAATGCTTTCAGCAGTTCTCATGAAACTTTGGTGAATTGTTTATATCTGTTGATGTAAGCTCCCTTTAGAATTTTATAAATTTTAGATTTTACATTTCTGAGTTATGGGATTTTATTCATTAAAAAAGGGGGGATTTTCCAGTTTTTGGACAATAACTCAAAAATGCTTTCAGCAGTTCTCATGAAACTTTGGTGAATTATTAATAGCTATTGATGTAATCTCCCTATTGATTTTCATAAATTTCAAATATCACATTGAGAAGAAATTGAACTTTATTTGTTTATAGTCTGACAACAGATTTACTAAGTATTGCGCAACAGCACAGTGTATTGCACAACAGCAAGAAATCTTTAATTGAATATAAATTCAATTCGTATAACCAATTTCAAGTTCTTTGACTACATTTATTCAGAAACCTATAATATGTCAAATATTTAATTACAATCCAAATTCAGACCTGTATCAAGCTTGAATATTGTGTCAATTTTTGCCCAAACTGTTCAGGGTTGGACCTCTGCGGGCGTATCCAGCTGCGCTCAGCGAAGCAGTTTATTTAGTGTGCTTTGATCACCTATTGTTGTTCTTTTTCTGTAAATAAGTTATATTTTTGTTGCTTAAATTTTGACTTTTTATAATAGTTAACCAAATCCTTTGGATAAGATTTTTTTCCAGATAATGACCAGTTTTGTTAGTCCTGTAAAATTTACTACTACTATTCCAAAAAGAAGAACGAATGAGGTTGATTTGGAAAAATGCATTATGTGTCAATGTTCATCACAAGAGCAACTAATATGCATGCGAAGCGGTCGGGAAACAAATTATTAAAGCATGGATGCTTGCAAAGTTTATTGCAGAAATGAGAATAAAACTGAATGTACTGTTCCAGAAAAAAACTCTCATGATGAAACCAGAACAATTGCCTTGCGATGAGATGAAGTGCATGCAAAACTTATTATAGACCATGATCACCAGCGACTGACAAATCCTTTTGATGTTAAGTCTAATCTCAAGTCACTGATCAACATATCAACTGGAATGCACACGCCTAAGAAAATTGAATCATCAATAATAAAAGCATTTGATGATGGTATACAAATTGTCAAATTGTTTTTATACGACCGCAAAAAAAAATTTGTGGTCGTATATTGGTATGACGTTGGCGTCGTCGTCGTCCGAAGACACATTAGTTTTCGCACTCTAACTTTAGTTTAAGTGAATGGATCTCAATGAAATTTTACCATAAGGTTCAATACCACAAAAGGAAGGTGGGGATTGATTTTGGGGGTTATGGTACCCACAGTTAAGGAATTAGGGGCCAAAAAGGGGAAAAAAATAAGCATTTTTGTAACTTCCAGACATAACTTGTGTGCAAGTGTATGGATCTCTCTGACATTGTAGCACAAGGTTCCATATCACAAAGGGAATGCTGGGATTGATTTTGGGGGTAATTGCCACCAAATTTTAGGAATTAGGGGCCAAAAAGAGGCAAAAAACAAGCATTTTTTTCTAGTTTCATGACAATAACTTGTGTGTAAGTGTATGGATCTCTCTGACATTGTATCACAAGGTATCATATCACAAAGGGAATGCTGGGATTGATTTTGGGGGTAATTGCCTCCAAATTTTAGGAATTAGGGGCCAAAAAGGGGCAAAAAACAAGTATTTTTCTAGTTTCATGACAATAACTTGTGTTCAAGTGTATGGATCTCTCTGACATTGTATCACAAGGTATCATATCACAAAGGGAATGCTGGGATTGATTTTGGGGGTAATTGCCTCCAAATTTTAGGAATTAGGGGCAAAAAAGGGGCAAAAAACAAGCTTTTTCTAGTTTCATGACAATAACTTGTGTGTAAGTGTATGGATCTTTATGAAATTGTACTACAAGGTTCCATATTACAAAGGGAAAGCTTGAATTGAGTTTGGGGGTAATTGCCCAAAAAGTTTAGGAATTTGGGGCCAAAAAGGGGCCAAAAATAAGCATTTTTCTAGTTTCCAGACAATAACATGTGTTCAAATGTATGGATCTCTCTGAAATTGTACTGCAAGGTACCATACCACAAAGGAAAGGCTGGGATTGATTTTAGGGGTAATTCCCTCAAAACTTTAGTAATTAGGGGCCATAAAAGGGCAAAAAACAAGCATTTTTCTAGTTTCAGGACAATAACTTGTGTGTAAGTGTATGGATCTTTATGAAATTGTACTGCAAGGTTCCATATCACAAAGGGAAAGCTGGGTTTGAGTTTGGGGGTAATTGCCCAAAACGTTTAGGAATTTGGGGCCAAAAAGGGGCCAAAAAACAAGCATTTTTCTAGTTTCCAGACAATAACTTGTGTTCAAGTGTATGGATCTCTCTGAAATTGTACTGCAAGGTACCATACCACAAAGGGAAAGCTGGGATTGAGTTTGGGGGTGATGTATCATAAGGGGGTTCGAAATATTGGGGGGGGATTTTTTTTTCATTTTTTTTCTTTAAAATTTTCCATTTTAAATTGGTTATTTCTGATTTATATATAAAAGCAAATAATAATGATATGGTTTGAATAGGTAAATTAAAATTTTTTAAGTTCTTAGACCACTTTCATTCTGTGTGAGAAACCTATGCTGTGTCAAATATTTAATTACAATCCAAATTCAGTGCTGCATCAAGCTTGAATGTTGTGTCCATACTTGCCCCAACTGTTCAGGGTTCGACCTCTGCGGTCGTATCAAGCTGCGCCCCAGCGGAGCATTTTATTCAACGGTGCGTTGGAAGAAGTAGACAACTATGGCTTCTGTGGCCCAATACTAAGATTGAAAATCAAAAACTTCAAAGACTTAACGACAAAGTCTCAAATCAAGTGCAGGTCAGAAGATATACTATATGTACATATTAGTCCAGAAAATAAACAATGATACGTATATTTTATGATGGTATGATACTAAACCCCTAACGGGAGGGATTGTGCTTGATTTTCATATGATGAAGACATAATCTTTCAATCAGTTTAATTGAAGACTGGAGTTGGGATGTCACTAACTGCTTTGCTAATTTGTGTATCATTGTCATTTTGTTTAGTTTCTTCTGTTACCTATTCTTAAATCGGACTCGGACTTCTTTTAAACTGAGTTTTACTGTGCGTATTGATGTGTGTTTGTTTATTCTACATTGGCTAGAGGTATAGGGGAGGGTTGAGATCTCACAAATCATGTTTAACCCTGTCGCATTTTTGCTCCTGACCCAAGTGTCTGGCCTTTCTTAGTCTTGTATGTTTTGTTTTTAATTTTGGTTCATTTATGTGTTTTGGAGTTAAGTGTGACGTCAATTTTTTACTGAACTAGTACACATTTTTATTTAGGGGCCAGCTGTAGCCCGCCTCCGGGTGCGGGATTTTTTCGCTGTGTTGAAGACCCATAGGTGGCCTTGGGCTGTTTTCTGCTCTTTGGTTGGATTGTTGTCTCTTTAACACATTCCCCGTTTCCATTCTCATTTTTATATTAGTCCAGAACAAGTACATAAACTCTTTCTAGCGGGTAATTTTGTTGACCCGATTGTTGAAAAGAAGTTATCTTCAGCATAGGTTACTGACTTGCAGGACACACGAAGAGGTAAATACTGAATGATCCTACATGTCACATTTGGTGACAGAGAAATTGGAAGGAAAAACAAGAAGGGTCGAATAGATAAAAAGTCATTTTTTTCTTCTTTTTTGCTCCCATTAAATTCTCTTCTGAAACTACTGGCCCAAATGTTACCAAACTTTTCAAGAATGCTACTTAGGTTATATAGTTTAAAAATTGTATCCGGGGATTTGATCCATCAACACACATGAACGATGTTGCTAAAAAAAGAACATAGGGGTAAAATTCTGTTTTTAGCTTGTATCTCAAAATCTAAAGCACTTAGAGCATATCTGACATGGTAAAAATTATCAGCAGGTTAAGATTTATCTCCTGTAAAATTGACCAAAAAATCACACAACCAATGTTGGACTTATTGCCTGAAATATCAACTGTTATCTACAAAAAAAGAGCAAAACTGGCAGTGTAAAAATGATTAGCAGGTTAAGACAAAAATAAGAAAATGTGGTAGGATTGCCAATGAGACAACTCTCCACCAGAGACCCATCTTCGCTAGCCAATCCAGAGGAGGGCACTGGGTCGTAACCATTGGCTAGCGAAGATGCCAGAGATCAAATGACATAGAAGTTAACAGCTATAGGTCACCGTACGGCCTCCAACAACGAGCAAAATTCATGCCGTAAAGTAAGCTATAAAAGGCCCCGAAATGACAAATGAAAAACAATCCAAACGAGAAAACTAACGGCCTGATTTATGTACGAAAAACAAATATGATTACAATAACAAACGACAACCACTGAATTACAGGCTCCCGACTTGGGACAGGCAAATACAGAATTTTGCGGGGTTAAACATAAACTTCCATGTTTGCTGACGCCAGACCCTCCCCTAACATGTGTAACAGTATAACATAAGACCAAACTATAAAAGATCAGTTGAAAAGGGCTTAACTCATCAGATCGACAAAAACACAAAAGACACAAAGTTCAGATCTGAGAGTACTCGCCGTTACTGAAAGCTAGTTAAAAGCCAATAACAACTAATAAAAAATCATTTGTCTGAGACTAAATTATCAGTCAGTACACATCCAAGGGATTTAGAGTAAAGACGTCATTAACAGTCAGAGACAGACATGACCTTGTGCAATGCGAAATTATAGTTATCGAGAGATTGTAGAACCGTGAATGTGCATGTGTGTATAAAAATAATATTTAGTTTGGTTTTAATTAACTGATAACAAAATCAATATTTATTCCAATAAAACAATATTCAAAGATCTAATTACAGTGTTGAATTGGTAACTTTTTAGCAGAAGTTTATTTAAATGATCGATAAGTTTACCCGGATCGTATCTAAATTTACGGACTCGTTTAACAACATCACCGTAAAGATTAGGAAAGGTCTGATAAATTTTTCAGAAAAATATGTTAATTTATTTTGGACGTATTTCCCTGAAATGTGAATATTTTGAAAATGTTTAAGTTTTTGGTTATTATCTTGAAAACTACGATATTTTTTTAAATTGTTAAATAGTAAAAATTGACAAGATATGCTTACATCCACTTCATTCGAATTTGGGTGGATAGTTGTCTCATTGGCAATCATACTACATCTCCTTATTTTTATAAGAACACTAAGATCGATTAAAAAGTCAGCATTGACGAAATCATCAATTGACCATTATAGGAGTTATTGCCCTTGAAAGTCGATGTTTATCTATTTTTGCATTTTATAGATAGAGAGAATTTGTAAAAACAAAAATGTTCGGCAATTTTTTTGTTTTTGTTTTTTGTTTTTTTTTTGCTAAGTTTTGCTAATCATTTATCTCGAAAACTTTAATAGATAGGTACATAAAGTTGTTAACAATCAAACTGATCATCAATGTCAAGATCTACAAAATATCACTAAATTAAATTTATAAATAAGTAAAAACTGGGACTATTGTCCCTGGTAAACATAACTGATTGCTGTACATGTAAAAATAAATATCAAAATGGTATATTTTTACGGTGCTATTCAGGCGGCTTTCAATGGAGCCTCTTGTTTTATTATAAAATTTGTTTAGTTTTGCATTTGTTCGAGACCACGTGGACTTTTAGGTTTATAATTGCTTACTATTTTACTAGAACATATCAGTAAGGTTCTACTACCCTTTTGAAATAAATTTTCTAGCCTTAGGTTCCTTAGTCCGCATACTCTAGGTAATTCCGATTACGTATGGTATTTAGTTGTGTATGCGGTACTTCCGGTCAATGAGAGAGGAAAGAAAAAATAGGGACAAGAATAATAATCCTCATATCCAGGGAAATAAGGTCTTCCTAGTTCTATTTTGCACAAGATTGAAACCAGTCATTGAATGATAAGGACAAAAAATGGTAAATTATTAGGTGTTAATGAGGTATTATGGATGTGATCCTTTCCAAAACTGTTCTATGTGGCCCCATATAAACCTTTCAGCTCGTGTCTCTTTTCAATATTGTAACCTGTTTACCACTGCGCATTGAGGAAAAAAGTGAATACATGTTTACAAACAAGATGGGTCAAGACAAAAATAACAACAAGCTTGTTATTACAGTTTGACGTTGTCTTACCCCAAAAAATCATTTAAAGTGTAATAAGAGGGGGGGGGTTAGGAGGGGTCCTGATCCCGAAATCCCGGGCTTAAAAACATAGAATCCTGAGGTCCCGAATTTAAAAAAAATTAAATCCCGACATCCAGAAATTCGAAAAAAGAATTCCCGGATCCCGAAAGGATCAATCCCGAAATCCCGAGCTTAAAAACACCCGATCCCGGAGTCCCGATAAAGGTCCTACCCCCCCCCCCCCCCCCCCCCCTCTAATAACAAACATCATGACATGAACATGTTGTTACTTCACGTCTTCAGGCTTGACCCCAACTTGTTTGTAAACATCTGTGCAGTGACTCATCCTAAATGCACAATAGTTTTTATAACTGAAATTGAAGGATTTATAACCATTTAATAGTGAGGTATCATTGACGAATTGCTAATATGATCCCAAATAAGTGAAAATATTGAATCGTTAATTTTTTTTTATTCAAGACAGGAGGAGATAACTCTGTCAGAATTCCCACAATAACAGTATGCCTGTTATTTTCTGTGATAACTTTTTTAAGGGTATACCCTTGACTGTTTGAAGAAGATATTCAACTTTATATTTTGATTTTGAGCAAATTTCTTTCAAAATTTCTGAAGTAATATGCTACTGTCCTGGCAGATGTTTTTACCTTTTTGAGACGAAAAAATATTAAATTATAGATTTTTTAAATGATTATTCCCAAAACTTTAAATAATGGTACAAAAATATTAAGCCAGACATTTGTCTAATTAGGAGAAATTATTTCAATTATAAGTAAACTTTTTTTCGGTAATTTACCCCATTTTTTCCTAAAATTAAACTGTCCTGGCAGATTTTTTTTAACTTATTAATTTCTAATTTTTAAAAACTTTACAAATAAAGTAAATACCCTGCTCTTTTTCCTGTTTATCAAAACTGTTATTAAACAGTGAATTTTGACAATATGTTGAGTAAAACAAAAGTAACCAGATTAAAACGTATCAAATATAACTGTCCTGTTAATAGACCTTCCGTTGACTTTGTACTTGCATAATGGGGCTTAGATCCTTGCATTTGAACAATGTAGACCTGTGTAGAAGGGATTCTGACAGTGGGAAATATAGTGACAAAATATTACCTCCCCTGTAAACACTGAAAACTTGATCTTTTCAACGTTTGTCCCATTTTAACAAGGACGCTATCAATTATAAATTCATGGGAAAACGTTCTGGTAAATAATGAAAATAGAAATAAGTTAAAATAAAAACAAAACTACCATTTAATGTTATCGTTTCCCTCTTTAAATAGAAAACGATAAGTACAGCAGACTAAAGGAGCTTAGTGTAAAATTGGTTTAAAATGTTGCTATGCGAATGAATTCCTGGAGTACAAACTTCAATTTATTTTTTTACTGGCTGTATACCTCTCTGGAACATGCTAATTATCTATATATATATATGCTGCTAGTTCAGAGAAAGTCAGAGAAAAAATCCAAAGGAATCGATTTATATGCAGCAAAGATTGGCACTTTTGAAATTAATTACTAAGCAAATTCAAAAGGACCTTATCCCAATGTAAACATTGAATGTGATTAGATCAAGAAAACCGCAAATACTTGTACAAAAATCGAGACAAACTTTTCTTAAAATTGTATAAAATAGTAAAAAGACGCCTACTTTATACAATGTTATAAGAATATTTATCTTTAAATTTTTTAACCTGCACAGACAGACTTTTATATTGTTATATTCATGAAAAAACAATATTACTATATGGAATTTTCATGTGACAAGAGGAGACCGGTGTACTCGAAAACTTAGAATGTGAAAAATAAGTATATTTTGGGAAATTGTAACATGTTAAGGACTTTGTGGAACACTACAAAAATTGGTGACCCGAAAGATCTTTAGATTTTGTATGTACATGATTTTTTCCAATTTTTTTTATCAATATGCAGCAAAGATTGGCATTTTTTAAATTTCAGTTTTACAAGCTTCTAATGCAATTATCTCGATAAATACTGAACATAAAACATCGTGTATTTGCATGTATGTTTCTAATAACACAGTTTAACAAATAATTTCTTTAAAATGTACAATTATTATTTAGAATTAATTTTTGATCAGTATCGTCACCGGCATTGTTTTATTATTGGCTTTCTCGACTCTATCATAAGAAGAGTGAATTTTCTTTTGTTTCTGTTCACTGGATATATCCCACTGCTGAGGGCAGTCAAATCAATAAATCACTTCAGACTCATATCACAAAAGAGATTACTCTTTCTGTTGTAATATTATATTCTATTTTTCATGTTGTTTCATGAGCTTATTTTATGGTCATCTACACTGTTTTTAAACAGATGTGAAATGCCCCTTAAGCATGTTAAGAGGCATTATTGGTAAATTTGTATTTATTAACCTGCCATCATGATTTTTTCGTCATTCCCAAACTTTTGATATGCCATTAGACAGCAAGCCATGTATAAATGTTGAATATCCAAACCCTATCAATCAATTATTATTAATTTATCTTCTAGATCTGCCATTTTTGTTGAGCCTACAACATTAATGTAGCGAAAGCGAGACATACATTTAGCGATACTAGATTCTGTTGGCCATCAATATTTAGGTTTCAGCCTGTGGTTGAAGATTTTTAAACATCAATAACTTTTTCAAACCTTTATTGACTTTTTTGAAATTTGGACAGAAGCTTTATTATGACCAAAAAGACTGTATCCAGAGAAAAATTTTGAAAATATTTACTTCCATTTTCAGCTCACCTGGCCTACATGGCCTAAAAGGCAAAGTGAGCTTTTCTCATCACTTGGCATCCGTCGTCATCCGTTAACTTTTACAAAAATCTTCTCCTCTGAAACAACCTGGCCAAATTTAACCAAACTTTGCCACAATCATCATTAGGGTAGCTAGTTTAAAAAATGTGTCCGATGATCCCGCCTGCCAACCGACATGGCTAAAAATAGAACATAGGGGTAAAATGTAGTTTTTGGCTTATATCTCTGAAACTAAAGCATTTAGAGCAAATCTGTCAAAAATTTTTATCAGGTTGAGATCTGTCTGCCTTGAAATTTCCAGACAATTCAGACAACCCATTGTTGGGTTGCTGCCCCTGAATTGGTAATTTTGAGGAAATTTTCAATTTTGGTTATTATCTTGAATATTATTATAGATCTACAAATAAGTTAGTGTGACCAAATTGGTCAATTGACCCCTTAAGGAGTTATTGCCCTTTATAGTCAATTTTTAACAATTTTTCGTGTAATCTTTTACAAAAATCTTCTCCTCTGAAACTATTTAGACAAATTTTACCAAACTTGGCCATAATCATCATTAGGGTATTTAGTTTAAACAAATGTGTCCGATGACCCCACCTGCCAACCAACATGGCTGACATGACTAAAAATAGAACATCGGGGTAAAATGCAGTTTTTGGCTTATACATGTATCTCTAGATCTGAAACTAAAGCATTTAGAGCAAATCTGACTGAGTCAAAATGTTCATCAGGTTTAGATCTATATGCCCTGAAATTTTCAGACGAATCAGACAACTCTTTGTTGGGTTGCTGTCCCTGAATTGGTAATTTTAAGGAAATTTTGCAGTTTTTATACGACCGCAAAAAAAATTTGCCGTCATATATTGGTATGATGTTAGCATCATCCTCGTCGTCCGAAGACAAATTGGTTTTCGCACTCTAACTTTAGTTTAAGTGAATGGATCTCTATGAAATTTTACCATAAGGTTCAATACCACAAAAGGAAGGTTGGGATTGATTGTGGGGGTTATGGCACCAACAGTTAAGGAATTAGGGGCCAAAATTAAGCATTTTTGTAACTTCCAGACATAACTTGTGTGTTAGTGTATGGATCTCTCTGACATTGTACCACAAGGTTCCATATCACAAAGGGAATGCTGGGATTGATTTTGGGGGTAATTGCCTCCAAATTTTAGGAATTAGGGGCCGAAAAAGGGGCAAAAAACAAGTATTTTTCTAGTTTCATGACAATTACTTATGTGTAAGTGTATTGATCTTTACGAAATTGTACTACAAGGTTCCATATCACAAAGGGAAAGCTGGAATTGAGTTTGGGGGTAATTGCCCAAAATGTTTAGGAAAAAGGGGCCAAAAAGGGGCAAAAAAACAAGCATTTTTCTAGTTTCGGGACAATTACTTGTGTGTAAGTGTATGGATCTTTATGAAATTGTACTACAAGGTTCCATATCACAAAGGGAAAGCTGGGTTTGAGTTTGGGGCAAATTGCCCTAAACATTTAGGAATTTGGGGCCAAAAAACAAGCATTTTTCTTGTTTCCAGACAATAACTTGTGTTCAAGTGTATGGATCTCTCTGAAATTGTACTGCAAGGTACCATACCACAAAGGGAAGGCTGGGATTGAGTTTAGGGGTGATGAATCATAAGGGGGTTCAAAAAATTTGGGGGGGGGGGATTTTTTTTTCCTTTTTTTTCTTTAAAATTTTCCATTTTAAATTGGTTATTTCTGATTTATATATAAAAGCAAATAATAATGATATGGTTTGAATAGGTAAATTAAAAATTTTTAAGTTCTTAGACCACATTCATTCTGTGTGAGAAACCTATGCTGTGTCAAATATTTAATTACAATCCAAATTCAGTGCTGTATCAAGCTTGAATGTTGAGTCCATATTTGCCCCAACTGTTCAGGGTTCAACCTCTGCGGTCGTATCAAGCTGCGCCCAGCGGAGCATTTTATTGGTTATTATCTTTAATATTATTATAGATAGAGATAAACTGTAAACAGCAATAATGTTCAGCAAAGTACGATCTACAAATATGTCAATATGACCAAAATTGTTAAATGACCAATTAAGGAGTTATTGCCCTTTATAGTAAATTTTTCGTAAATGTTTGTAATCTTTTACAAAAATTTTCTCCACTTAATCTACTGGGCCAAATGGAATTAAACTTAGCCACAATTTTCAATAGGGTATCTTGATTGAAAAATGTATCTTATGACCCTGTCATCCAACCAACATGGCCACCATGGCTGGAAATAGAACACAGGGGTTTACTATAGAAGTCTAAGGGAAAATTGTTAGAAAAAACAATTTCAAATGGTCACAACTTGAAAACTAATTTAAATAATGATAAGGGGTCTTCAGTAACTATTGTAAGATTAAAATAGGATGACCTGCTTTTGATTTAACTACTGGGCCAAATTAAACCAAACTTGGCCTCAATCATTATTAGGATATATACTGTGGATTCATTATTATTCGTTGGATACCAATTTTCGTGGGTACAGGTGAACCACGAATTCAAATGTTCAACGAATTACAAATGTTAATTTGGCTTTGTATGCAGAGATTGGCAAAACCACGAAATCAAATATCCACGAAAATGCAAGTGTTCCTCAATCCACGAAAATTGATACCCATGAAAATAAATGAATCCACAGTAATATATTTTTTATTATGATTATAAACTTATTTTACATGATTTCCAAAAACACAGTAGATACAGGTGAGCGACACAGGCTCTTGAGAGCCTCTAGTTCAGTATTTTACTAATAAATTGACTTGTTTACAGTTAACATTTAGATACAGACTAAGGTTAAAGTTCTTGAGTCATCAATAACTTTGTCAAACCTGCCTAGAATTTTAGGAAACTTTTGAAATACAATGTAGCTTATTTATAATTACAAGATAATGTCTGTAACAAAATTTAGAATTTGTATTTTTCTAAATTTTCAGCATTTTGCTGATACATGTCATGCATGTACATGTGGATCGATTGATACAGTCTGAGATTAGATATTTTTTTTAAATGATAAATTTGTAAACTTTCAATGACTGTGATCAATCTTGGGCAGAAGCTGAGTAACTCCAAGATCAAGAAATAATATCTAAAGAAACAGTTTATTTTTAATTCAGTATTTTACTGATAAATGGACTCACCAGTCAAGGGTGTAACTTGAATAAGTTATTAGAGAAAAATAACATACATGTGTTATTACGGATACTTTCTCTTAATCTGTAGTAACATATGTTTGTTATCAGTTAAATGTACCATAAAATTTTTTATTTTCAGTTGGCACTTGGGAATTCTTGAAACTTGCGCAGTAACTTAATACATAACCTTGAAAACTAATTTTCCAATTCAATTAATACATTTTTGATCAACCATGGTAAATCAATGAGACAAGGCTTTTAAGTGATAACTTAGCTGTAATAACAACATGAACAAGGCTTAGTTATTACAGGCATTTAACTTATTACACGAGACACTTGGGAATGACTAGGAAGCTTGCACAGAACCTCATCACATGCTCTTATCATTATTTATTACACTAAATTAAAATACATTGTGATATATGTAGGAGAAAAGGCTTTGAAGAGATGTAGAGAAGCTGTAATAACACCCTTTAGTTATTACAGGCATATTTTTTCTGTAATAACATGGGTGTGTTATGCATGATTGGCAAACTATGGGCTGTTATATCTTTCTAAAGTTAAATATACATAAAGACAATTATAATATAAATAGAACTAGTACTTAATTTAACAAAATAAAGGATGTATAATGCCTCTTTGAAACATTTAACATACATATGTTATCACAGATTTTTGATTTTTTAGCCCTCAATAACAAATGTATGTTATTTTTCTCTAATAACTTATTTAAGTTAGACTCTTAACTGCTCACTTTTAACAGTTATAGTCAATATTACACTTTAACACTGACAGCAGCAATCTCAGGCAAGACAGAGGGTTCCTTGTTTCCTTTCTTTGGTGAAAAATGAGAGTATTTTGCGACCTACATGTACTTGAATATCAACACAAATAATGTATTTAATGGTTGTACATTTTAACTTTGTAATTTTTTGTAATGTGGTGTGGGTAAAAGAAGTTATTTTGTATAAAAAGTAATATCAACTATTTCTATGTGAAAATTGTGGTATTGCCAGATTGATAACAGTAAGGTCTAAGGGCCGATTTTAATGTTCAGTGAGCCTACTCATTTGCTAGGTTTAATCTGATCAATTCTTGATTATGAAGAAAAAGATTTAAGGCTTGAATCATGTGAATTGGAAAAAGCTGTATACAATGTATTCTTTAGTTTTTTGTCGAGCCTGCGACTTTTGTCGCAGAAAGCTCGACATAGGGATAGCGATCCGGCGGCGGCGGCTACGGCGGCGGCGGCGGCGTTAGCTAACTTCTTAAAAGCTTTATATTTTAGAAGGTGGAAGGTCTGGATGCTTCATACTTTGTATATGGATGCCTCATGTTACGAAGTTTCCGTCAGTCACATGTCCAATGTCCTTGACCTCATTTTCATGGTTCAGTGACTACTTGAAAAAAAAGTTCAGATTTTTTGTAATGTTAGATTCTCTCTTATTATAAGTAATAAGATAACTATATTTGGTATGTGCGTACCTTGCAAGGTCCTCATGCCCGTCAGACAGTTTTCACTTGACCTCGACCTCATTTCATGGATCAGTGAACAAGGTTAAGTTTTGGTGGTCAAGTCCATATCTCAGATACTATAAGCAATAGGTCTAGTATATTCGGTGTATGGAAGGACTGTAAGGTGTACATGTCCAACTGGCAGGTGTCATCTGACCTTGACCTCATTTTCATGGTTCAGTGGTTATAGTTAAGTTTTTGTGTTTTGGTCTGTTTTTCTTATACTGTATGCCATAGGTCTACTATATTTGGTGTATGGAATGATTGTAAGGTGTACATGTCTAGCGGGCAGGTGTCATCTGACCTTGACCTTATTTTCATGGTTCAGTGGTCAAAGTTAAGTTTTTGAGTTTTGGTCTTTTTTTCTAATACTATGTGCAATAGTTCAACTATATTTGGTATGTGCGTACCTTGCAAGGTCCTCATGCCCGTCAGACAGTTTTCACTTGACCTCGACCTCATTTCATGGATCAATGAACAAGGTTAAGTTTTGGTGGTCAAGTCCATATCTCAGATACTATAAGCAATAGGTCTAGTATATTTGGTGTATGGAAGGACTGTAAGGTGTACATGTCCAACTGGCAGGTGTCATCTGACCTTGACCTCATTTTCATGGTTCAGTGGTTATAGTTAAGTTTTTGTGTTTTGGTCTGTTTTTCTTATACTATATGCAATAGTTCAACTATATTTGGTGTATGGAAATATTTTATGATCTATTTGGCAGTCACGCAGGTTTTATTTGACCTTGACCTCATTTTCAAGGTTCATTGCTCAGTGTTAAGTTTTTGTGTTTTGGTCTGTTTTTCTTAAACTATAAGCAATAGGTCAACTCTATTTGTTGTATGGAAGAATTGTTAGCTGTACATGCCTGCCTAGCATGGTTCATCTGACCTTGACCTCATTTTCATGGTTCATTGGTCAATGTTTAGTTTACTTGGTTAATGTTAAGTTTATGTGACAGTTGTAATAAAGCTTTATATTTAGGACTATCAACATAATATCAATGATTAGTAAAGAAGGCGAGACATTTCAGCGTGTGCACTCTTGTTTCATTTCTACACAGATTTAGAAAAATTCATTTGATTATTACATGAACATATTTTGTTTGATTTATATTACGGGAATAAAGAAATAATGTGCTGTCTAATCTGCAACTGTTTTTTCTCTCACAAATCTATGTGGTGTAATGAGCTAACTTTATATTTTAGATATGAAACTCAGCCAGGAAGACAGAGTGTACATAACTATGTCATTGGTAGCAGAATCAATAGAGAGCAACAGAAAATTAACATTGCATTAAAGGTTCAATAAATATGGAGAGTAAATTGTATGATGGGAAAGGTTCTAGTGTTCCATATATGACAGAACCAGAAAAAAAGCATTCGGTAGATTCTATGCTAATTATAAAACAGGAAGTTGTTGACAATGCTATTGAATCTGCTATAAATGAAAATTATGAAAATCGACAGACATTAATAAGTAATTCCACGACAGTAAGCAACATTGGAGAAAGAAATCCAAATGATGCAAAAAACATATTATTAGATGAAATAAAACAGGAACCCTGTTCACCTGAAAGTGAAAGCACAAACACTTTACTCAATGGTTATATTCAAGAATGGACATACTTGGACAAGACAGCTAGCAATGCTGAAGGTATATTGAAAAATTGCTTAGAGTTGCATATATATTAGTATTTCGATTCTTTCATGTCTTGACTGCTAAAAATTTGATATGAATTAATACACTATATCCCTCCTTTTCCATGTGATGTTGTTTAGTTATTTTTTTTGTTTGGTTGCTGTCTTATTGATATAAACCACACATCCCTTTAATTCATATGTGAAGCGCTTACCAGGCATCTTAATGCTGAAGGGAAAGATCACGTGCAATAAGTAATGAAACTTATTTATAAAGCAAAATAAAACTTTTCCTTCAGTTTTGATTAAAGATAAAATTAAATGAAATTGTTCATATAATACAGGGGGCTGCTGCTGTTTTCTTGATGATTTGCATTTGGAGTAAATTGTCATGTACATAAGCATCCAATCAGAATCCATTGAGACATTGAGAATAAACAAAATGAATCATGTATTATCTCCCCTTATACGTCATGTACAGTACTTATGAATGAACAGAGATTTTGGATATATTTCAAATAACCAGCAGATAGTTTGTATCTAGAGGTCAACATAAAATCTTCAACAGTAGACAAGTGTATATACAAAATCTGTCAAACTCTAACATTGTGTCTAAATCTCAATTGTCATTTACAAAACACATATGTACAGTCTCAAAATAATAACATTTATATTAAATTTTACAGATAATAAATCAAACATATTGAAAAACAGAACAGATGGGGTTACCAGCCAGATTCCCTGTCAAGATGGTATTGACCAAGAAGAGCCAGCCATGTACATGTATATGTTTAATGCAGAAAATGAATTGTCTGAATTAAATGATGCAAATGAAAATGTAAACACTGGGGAAGTACAAAATAGGAGAAAAAGAAAAGGAACAAAACCTAAAAAGATCAGGCAAAATGTTGAAAAGATTGAAGATTTAAAGTACACATGTACTACTTGTGATCAAAGGTTTAGTAAAAAAAAAGAATTACAAATGCATACAAAATCACACAGCAAAGATGTTATTCACATATGTGGTGTTTGTGGAGAAAAGTTTGGAACTAAAAAAACCTTAAAGTCACATTCCAGAACTCATGAAAAAGAACAGTTTCATATTTGTTCCACATGCGGAGAACAATTTAGTAAAAAAATAGAACTTAAAAGGCATTTGAAAATTCACACTGGTCCTAAACGATACGCTTGTGATCAGTGTGATAAAGTTTGCAATCGAAAAGCAGAGCTAGTTGGACACATGAGAACACATACAGGTGAAAAACCGTTTCTTTGTTCAACATGTGGTAAAGGGTTTGGATTCCCTCACCATCTGAAGGGACATCTACTAATACATACTGGGGAAAAACCTTATTCCTGTCATATTTGTGGTAGAGGTTTCAACGATCGCAGCAGTATGCGAAGGCACGTAAAAACACATGACCCTTTTGAAACAGATGTGAATGATGCTTCATTGATACTTGATGAATCTTTGAAAAATGAGTCTGGTATATATGAAGTTAAACGTGTTAGGAGACGCCAGGTTTATTCCAGATCACATGTCTGTGAGTTTTGTGGTAAGGCTTTCATCAAAGGTCAACATTTACGAGTACATATACGTACACATACTGGTGAGAAACCCCACCAATGTGATGTGTGTGGAAAACAATTTAACGATCCCAGTAGTCTACGTCGTCACATTAGAACTTACGCTAACAGACCCCATGTGAACAGTGATGAAAAAGTAAAAGAGTATAAATGTCCTATTTGTGAAAAGGAATTTGGTTACCGCAGAAATTACAGGAATCATGTTAAAACGCATTCAACTGGGAAACAATTTGAGTGTACTACTTGTGGGAAATCTTTTCACTTGAAACATCACCTTAGACATCACATGACCAAGCACATGGTTGAAAAACCCTATAAATGTACTATTTGTGATAAACGCTTCAGCAATTACAGCATGTGGTATTGTCATTTCAAAACACATAATACCAAAGGAGATTACAAATTTCAGTGTAGTATTTGTACAAAGTTCTTTTTGACTGGTGCTCATCTAAAATTTCACTTAAAAACGCACAAACACGGTAATTCAAAGGCATCAGAAAACAATCAATTAAAATCCCAGTCCACAGTTGCAGAACAAAGTGGGGACTATATATGTACAATTTGTAGTGATTCATTCCATGATAAAATAAGCTTAAAACAGCATGAAATTTTGGTTCATGAAGAAAAATTAAATGGGGACCTTAGTCTGGTTGGTAGTGATAATTTCAGCATTGTTGGTGAAATGGAGGATGATATGTCAGGCCAGAGTACAGACTTGGAATTGATCAAAAACAATATTCAGAATGACCAATCAGTGTTGGATAAAAATTTACCAGTCATGCAAAGCACTGCAGATCCTAATTTGATAAATGATAAAAACATGGATGCTCTTTTGACACAAAATGCATCAGAAAAATCTCTGATTAATTGTTTTGAATCGTCAGAGGAGCAGAGTATTGAAAAAGAAAGTTCCAAACTCAGCGAACATGATGACACTTACTTAGATTTAAGTTCATGTTCTGATAGTCTGAAGAATGCTCCAGACATAGGGGCAAAATCTGATAATAAACAGAAACGATTTGATTGTTCTGAATGCTCAAAAAGTTTCAGTAGGAGAGATTCTTTAACAACACATTTTAGAATTCATACAAGGCAAAACATACATGAATGTAATCTTTGTGGAAAAATATTTCCCAAGAGAAGTAATTTTATACGACACATGGAATCGTGCGGGAAAAGAGAAAGGAGGATAGCAAAAAATGTACTGCCGAATGAAACTTATTCTGAAGATTTGACAGATAGAGAACAGTTTGATGCCTCACAAAATGCTCATTGTGACAAAACGTCTGAGGTTGGTAGACTGTCAAAATCATTAAACAAACCGTTTTCTTGTGACGTATGTGACAAAAGCTTCACCATGAAAAGTTCATTAGTGACACATTACAAACTTCACACTGGCAAAAATCTAATGGAGTGTGATGTTTGTGGTAAAAAGTTTACCAAGAGTTATACTTATTTACGACATATTAGGACACATACTGGAGACAAACCTCATAAGTGTGATTATTGCGAAAGGGGCTTTGGGGATAAAAGCAGCTTAAATAGACACTTGACAACAAGACACAAAATGGAGGCACCATACATCTGCCACATGTGCAATTCAAAGTTTTTTACTAAGTTTAGCCTTGAAAAACACATCTGGACACATGATCAAGAATCATTTGATGAGATGAAGTATAAAGATAGATCAGAAGATTTACCGCTTAGAAAGAAATTACCAAAAATTCAGTTGAAACTGTCAGACGTAAAAGAGTCAACTAATGACTCATCAGTGTGCGAAATGACACTAACAGACACGGATGATAATTCCACTGAAGAACCGTTTGATAATACTTATATGGTTCAAGTTAAAATTGAACCTGAAGAAGTAGAATAACCTTTTATAAAGCATGTTCATGTACAGTTATAATATAAAACAACAATAGATTCATTTATAGATATATATATGTATTTTACCATGTAAAATTTTATTGCACTTTTTTGCATTTGTTATGAATTGTTTTTATTGTACTAAAAATTTAAAGTCATATGATCCTTCAAATGAAACAAAAAAGATTAATATGTTTTATGTACTTGAATGAGTAAGTTTTACTATAAAACATGTGTACATAGACATGATAGACTTTCATGAAAATCCTTTATCTAAATCTTCACAAAAGTTCTGCTACTGAATTATTGTCTTCCAGTATTGTAATTATTTGACAGCTTTCCTGTACATGTATGCAGTGACCTTAACCATGGCACGTCTTGTTAGAAAATCATTAAAGTCATATGAACTGAGTTTCTTGTGTAGCTGTAAAAAATGTACACAGACTTATTAAAGTATATATATGCTTGCATTGGCTCAATAATTTCCTCACCAGAAACTCATTTCATATGACTTTAATGCATCTAGTATAAGAAGGAATATAATTATGATTTGCATTTTATTTACATGTGTATGTTGTAAAATAATGCTGAATTTTTATAGTACTAAGATTTTTATTGTATCTCAATTTTAGTATCTTTTCCATTGTTCACAGTCATGGAAAAGCTCAAAGAACATTCCTGAAAGAAAGAAACATTAATTTATTTAGATACTTTAGTATACAATACATGGTACACTATATGAAATTCCCTGCTTGAAGTTAAAGTCATTTTTGACCTATCATTTACTATTTCTGATGAAAAGGGGCCTAACAGGATGACCCTTAGAATAGTTACGTTTTATCTCACCTGGAGTCGGTTTCACAAAAAAACTTCTGACTAAGATTGATCTTAAGTCATGAACAATTCAGTATTCTTACCATCAATCTTAGTTGTAAGTTTTTTTGTGAAACTGACTCCTGGCCTCTAAAGTACCTGAAAAGTTAAGGATTGCTTTTAAATGATAGTGAATTTTTTTTTTAAATTCATGATTTGTAAAATGTGAAAATAATTGATGGCCTCAGTACATTTTACTATAGTTTTCATCTTGCAAAAATCATTATTAGATCATTATTTATACGGACTACATCCTCTTTTACAGGTAACACCTGTTTCGTGTTATAATCATATTAAACGATGACATCTTTTTCCATGCCTTTTTTAACAAAGGATGTATGTCATGTATATTGATTAAGGAACGATCGTTTAACTTCAAAGGGGGGAGTTATGGTTTTTTCCTTAAAAAATATTCTGATCCCCAATTTGATGAAAAAAAACATTCTTAATCTAGAACCCATACCTTATAGTGTTCAATTTTGAAAAAAATAATTTGGTTGTTAGAGTCGAAAAAAAAAAAAAATTTATGACTCAGACAAAAAACCGTACGCCTCCCCCCCCCCCCCCCCCCCCCTTGAAGTTAAATGGTTGCTCTCTTAGTATGAACATAATGGCTTGCTTTTTGATTCATTCAGATTTTACTAAAGCAAAGGTTTGTAGATATCCCCTTTTTACACAAATTGAAAAAAAATGCTCATCAAGGGATGAAATGATGGGAGTATTTTTATGTTTCTCTACATAAGAACTGTACATTATATTAATGATTATACAATGTACCACATCTACTTATTTTCATATTGATCATATTTATGTTTTACATGTAATTTAAAAAGTCTAATTACATTTGTACATGTATACATGTCTGCCAGTCTTTTACTGTTATATCTCAATTTTTATAAAAGAAAGTTAACATTTTTTATGAAACAATTTGCAATGGATTGTCCGCCTCTATTGTGTGATTTTTTGGGGACAGATTGCATGAAATACAACTAACTAATGTCACTAGCATGATAGCTATATCTTCCAGGCCTCAACTCTACCTTTTAGAGGTCAAACAACATAGTGCAGTGGGATGAAAACTGTGTAGATCATATCCATATCTTGCCTTACAGTGCTCACAACCACTTTGATTTTTGATGCCAATAATTTCATTTAAGTTTCATTGTCATTTGACTGATAAAACTCTTTCATACACATAGAAAAAACCAGACCAGAAATTAAGTTACACTATAGTTCTATGGTATTTATCACCATTTGTAATTTATTTTTTCACTTGACAATCTAATAAGGTAGCAAAAAAGTATAATATATTGTAATTCGTAAATTATTATTTATTATTGCTATTTTTGAAGAATTGATAAAAATGCAAAATAAATTATTGCGATTTCAGGAAAATCTGCATTAAGATATATGTATCAGATATCAAAATGTGATTTCTTATTTTTGCGATCCTAACACAGTCTCATTATTCGCAATAATAAAAACCTTGCAATAACTTCTGAATTTACAGTAGATATATGAAATAAACATGTCAGATTTGACTTCATATATCCACTATAAAACCATAGGTATTTTTTATAAACCTCTTCCTTGAAAAACTGCTGACCAAGTAAGATGACTGCCACAACTATAAAAGGGAAATACTGTTTATTTTTGTTCAAACTCAATAAAGATAGGCTGTTAAACAATAAACAATAAAATAGACTATTGAACAATAAAATCAGATGCTCATTCTGTTGTAGAGTATATATAACTTTGAGGTTCTTGATAATTTATTTTGTTAAATATGATGTTTATCAGATTTCTTAGGGATTTGTTGCTAACTATAAAAATATAATTTCATTCCAATGATAATCATGCATATTATAGTCTTATGGAATTGTTAGCTTTGTTATATGTTGAAATGATGTCTTTAGATATGAAATACAAATAAATTCATGTATCAATCTTTTACAACCGAAATATCTATTTTTAGCTCACCTGGCCTAAAAGAGCTTTTCTCATCACTTGGCGTCTGTCGTCTGTCATCCGCCGTCGTCTCTTTTACAAAAATCTTTTCCTCTAGATAGATGGAAACTTTAAATAGCACAAATGATCAGCAAGACTCTTATTAGAGTTACTCCCTTTGATGATGATTTTTACTAAAAAGTGACCATTGTTGAAGATGCAGGTGAGCGACACTGGCTCTTAAGAGCCTCTAGTTGCTTTTCTATCTTTGCCAAACTTGATTCACATTTCAAGTAAAAACAGTTTGTATTTGAACTTTTGTTTTTTTTTTTTTTTTAATTTTGAGGATTCCTGATTGGCATCTATCTGTGGCTATTTTTAACTTTTACCTCAGTTGGATAAAAGTTTTACTCTTTTATTTAAAAAATGTCTAAAAGTACTGGCCATGGTCTTTAATACTATGTTGTCATCTACCATGAGCTCTCAGCTTTCACAATCATGAAATTGATTACAAAAGATATAAATATGAAGATATGGTGTGATTAACAATGAAACAACTATCCACCTAGTGATGTAGATGTAAGCAACTTAAGGTATAGATAGAATTTGAGTCTAACCAGTGAACATGAATTTGACAGCTTATGCCCCTTTAATTTTGATTTTACTTTACACAGTGTATTCAAAGAGATGTTGTTGACATGTTTAGTACTCTGTTAAGACTTAATGTTAAATATTTTTCTATGATGGCCATCTTGACTTTCAGATTGTCAACATTATGAAAAGTTATGGTAGTATCCAAGTTTATATTTTTACAGTTGGTAAGTTGTTTATATCAACTTTCCAAAAAGTGTGCAACAATATTGCTGTATTACATCACTCTTATTGTACAGGGTGTCCTTTTTCATTTTTAAGTTTTTTGTCTCGCCTGCGATGAAAGACTTGGGTATTACTATCTGGCGATGGCGGTGTAAACTATTTGTATAAAGCTTTACAATTCAGAAGGTAGAAGACCTGGATGCTTTGTACCTTGTATGCAGATACCTTATGTTACAAAGTTTCCGTCTGTCATATTCCCTTTGTCCTTGACCTCATTTTCATGGTTCAGCGACTGCTTGAAATTTTTTTTTAGTTGATTTGTCATGTGAATTTCTCACTTATTATGAGTAATGGGATAACTATATTTGGTATATGGGTTCCTTGCAACGTCTATATGTCCATCAGACAGGGTTTACCTGACCTCGACCTCAATTCATGGATCTTTGATCAAGGTTAAAGTTATGTGATTAGGTCCGTTTCTCAAATACTATAAGCAGTAGGTCAACTACATGTGGTGTATGGAATAATTGTAAGGGTTACATGTCAGTCTGGCAGGTTTCTTCTGACCTTGACCTCATTTTCATGGTTCATTGGTCTATGTTAAGTTTTTGTGTTTTGGTCTGTATTTCAAGGACTATAAGCAGTAGGTCAACTACATGTGGTGTATGGAATGATTGTAAGGGGTACATGTCTGTCTGGCAGGTATCATCTGACCTTGACCTCATTTTCATGGTTCATTGGTCAATGTTAAATTTTTGTGTTTTTGTCATTTTTCCAAATACTAATAGCAATAGGTCAGCTATATTTGGTGTATAGAATAATTGTAAAGTGTACATGTCTTTCTGGCATGTATAATCTGACCTTGACTTCATTTTCATGGTTCATTGGTCAATGTTTAGTTTTTTGTGTTATGGTCTGTTTTTCAATTACCATAAGCAATAGGTCAACTATATTTGGTGTATGGAATAATTGTTAGGTGTACATATCTGTTCGAAAGGATTTATCTGACCTTGACCTCATTGTTATAGATCTTTAAAAATGTTAAGTTTATGTTATACTTTAAGTAAAATCTTTATGTTTAAGACTTTCACATAAAATCAATGGTCAGTAAAGAAGGCAAGACAGTTCAGCATGTGCACTCTTGTTTTTACAAGTTACAGCATTTCACAGGGTAAACGCATTATAAACGTTCCTAACAACAACATATTAAATAGTTATGTCATATATTTAGATATACAACTAAAGTGCCGTAATCCGGGGAATGGCTTACCCAATATAATGTTTGGTCAAAAAGTATATAAATACACCAAAAAAACCACTTCCAGTATAAACATCTTTTTACCACTGTTTCGAGAGAAAAAAAAACTAGTGCTTTTCCATTCAGTAATTAGCATTTAACTAACCACTGTTTCGAGAGAAAAAAAAACTAGTGCTTTTCCATTCAGTAATTAGCATTTAACTACTAACACTCCTGCTGAGTTACAGTAACATTTATAGTGGTCAATAAACGACATAATTTAGGTTACATATACACATTATCGATTCTTTATTTATACCTAACAAAGGTATGAATTATTAGTTTCAAAAACATACATAACTTTGTTTCACAAGATTAAAACTTCCCGGTTGGAAACTGATTTGTAATACCTTAATTTTTGGGTACAAGTGTACCACTGAATGGTAAAATATTAAACCCATCTTTATATAATTATTTTAAGAACTAGGTAAAATGACCCAGATTGATATATTACCCTTTTTAGAGGGTAGGAATGCCCTTTACCGTCAGGGGTGAAACGGCCAATTTCGGCTACCGTTAGCGTCAAATTGGTTAAGATTTTATCGTTATTCATCAAAATATCCTTATCGTGATTCATCAGAGGTCTCAAATAATTATCCGTTTACCGTTACTTTTGGAAAAAAATAACGTGATTCGTCAATATCAGTCGACTTTCTTTTATCGTCTTAAAGAAAGTGTACATTGTATCGTCATACACCAAAAATTACCGTTAACGTCATTTGGCAAGATTTTTTACCGTTATTCGTCATGAAGGTACCCCCCATTACGACCCTCTTTTTATTAGTATTCGAAAATATCTAACCCTCGGCCCTATTCAATATTGATTTTTTTCTAAAACGTAGAGTCTTTTATAGTTCATCCCAAAAACTCAACAATATTTTTGGCATTTTGTCGTGTAGAGGAGTACAGTTGGAAGTTTCACTTCCATGATACATTAAGTTAAGTGCAAGTTTGTATCCGAGTAGAGCTACATGGTTATTAAATTGGATTAGATATCTTGTGCAAAATGTGGGGAATAAACTCATCATAGATACCATAAAATTTGAACGCTAGACGAGCGTTTCGTCTACAAAAGACTCTTCGTGTCGCCCAAAAAAAAATATATAAAGGTCAAATAAAGTACGAAGTTGAAGAGCATTGACGACCCAAAATTCCGAAACGTTATTTTCAAATACAGCTGAAGTAATTTATTTCTGTTGTAGAAAATCATTAGTATTTAGAAATTTTTTTAAGTTTTGTAAACAGTTAAGCATAATTATGATCATAACATTGACAATTCATGTCAACACAGAAGTGCTGACTACTGGGCAGGTGAAACACTAGGGGCTGAAACCTTCAACTATGAGTAAAACACATACGGCAAAGAAAGCACAAATTTGTTTCAGAAGCGGCAGACATGACAAAATATGCATAAATATATATACGTGAAACATGGGTATTTATTCTTGAAAATGTATCCATGTTTTATGCGCCAGTTGTCTCATGAAATTAATGGTAGAAATGTCTACAGGTAAAATATTAGAAAGGAACCTGAACATTTGTATAGTTTTGCTTTTGCTTTTTAAATATGGATACGTAGAAATCGTCATTGACAAATATAATCAAAAGACATCTAGAGAGTCGAAATAAAAAAAAGGGAGGAACCTCGTCAGTATTTGTAGTATGTCATTTTTTTCATCCTTTTTTTATATCTGGATCAGTAGATTAAAAAAATGTGCACAAAAGAACATACAATAAAAAGCACTTAACTCTATAATAACGGTATGATAAAAAAAAACACAAAATAAATAGCAAATTATATCGCATTAAAGAATGCTCGCAGTTACTGAAAGCAAGCTCAAAGTACTTTACATTCTGATAAAAAAAAATCATGCCAGCCTACACTTTGAATTAGTTGTTGTACTTTTCACACAGCAACATCATTTAAATTAACAGTACATAAAGATATGATCGTGAGTAATGCCAAAAACAAACTATATACAGAACCACAAAAGAACATTGCCACTAAGGAAAGGAAAATTAACAAAAGTAAAGGAAAAGTCGTCCCGTTTATCATACATTTTTGGTATGAATATTGCAATGTGAAATACTAACATCAAAGTCTAAAAAAGTATATAATTTGTTTTAGCACATGTTTGTTGATAGTCGACTTAATTATTTCGATCTTTTATGATCTATTTCCTTGCTATCGATTTTTCAATTTTCATTGATGCTTTCTTTTTCTCTTGTAACTATCACACGTACACTAAGGCTTGTTCCTTGAAATGTATTTCGTCATGATAACAGTTTGCTTTTAGACAATTATATATTGATGTAATATGAATATCATATGAATTGCAGGTGGTGAAGATGACCTTTTACAAAATCATTTATATAAACTCAGCATAGATTGTGTATCCCAGACACGCGCTTCGTCTACAAAAGACTCATCATTATTTGAACCTTAAGTTCAAAAACATATCGCAAATTAATTGAAGAACCTTAAGTTCAAAGGCATACCACAAATTAATTCAGGAGAAGTGCGGTTCTTTGATGTTGCATTTTTTATTTGTTTGACTGGCGTAGAAAAATGGGAGCAGGATGTACTAAAAATAATGAAAATGACAGAATTGGTGCTTTATTTCAGGCAATACGACGAGAGAAATTTCAGCTGGCTACAGATCTTATTTCAAAAGGTGCAGGAGTCAACTGTATAAATTACTTCGGTAATACACCCTTGATAGAAACATGTCGGAGTCACCGAACATCCAAAAGAACAGGGAGTATAGTTGAAAATGAACGAGAGCGATTTGTGAGATTTCTACTAAACAATGATTGCGATGTGAGCAAATATGATATATATGGATGGACAGCTCTTATGTATGCCGAGAAGAATGGCCATGATAGCATCGTTTAT